TAAATTCGGCTTCTGCGGGTTCCTTTTGTCCGTTAACTTAAAAGTTAAATGAATGCGGAAAATTTATCATCACATCATCTTAACTTTCGGTTCCTAAAAGAAGACGGAATGATCAAATTTATCAGTTACTTTTCGTTATATTTCTTATATTCAGCGCATGTGGCCTCGTTCCAAACAATTTCCTTCTACTATAAACAATGCATGCTTCGACGTTTCGACGTAACGAATTGCTGAGATTTCAAACGCATCTTGCGACTTATGACAAGCATGGTTATATTATATTGGCTCTTGAAAGTTTGCCTAGTGAGCTTAATCCTTGAGTTGGCTGATGCTCTTTCGGTCGGTAACACATCATTGCATCGTCAAAAAACAAAAAAAGAATACATTCGAGACCAATAACTAACGCCCAAAGCCAAAAAACAAAAAAAAAACGTTGATATTGTAGCCTCAGGGCTTTGGCCGTGGGCACTGCGCATATATAGGTTTAAGTTTCATGGCCGACTTGAGAATCATTGTTATCACAATTGAAAATAAAATTACATACCTTGCTACAGTTGACTGCAATCAAGGAGAGGTCGTTCTGGCTTATCAGTGAGCAACTCAGTAATCTGTGATAAATACCACTGTAACTTTAAGACAAAGCTCCAGTTTTAAGTAAGACGATCGCTAAATAATTTTCTAGACCTTTTGAGTAATGCGCGTTACGTCTTTAAATCAGACGGATTCACTCTTAGAGAGCCAAATGCAAATAAATCTTGAACGTGATTTGCATCACGTTGTCACGATATCCTCAATAAATGTCACGCATTCGTCCCATGAGCGATTTTTCTTTCCATTCTTTTTGTCATTTTCAAACGTAGTTTGAAAACAAAATAATTTCGACAGTTCTTTTTACAATTAGGGTTTTCGTGAAACTATTGACGATCGCACACATCTCAGACAATAACGTAAATTAAGATGTCGATATATCCTGAGAGGGTCAAACACGTGACGTAATTAAACCAAGATTGGAACCAGATTTTGAAAAGGTAGCTGGCCCCTATTGTGTCCTAGTGTACAAAGTGCGGGTACGAAGTAATCCTGTCTCACATAAATAACACTTGGGGATTTTCTTATTTCGATGGTCTTATCGACCCTGGAGCGAATGGAAAAGAAAAGAAAAGAAAACAAAAAACAAAAAGAAAAACAAACAAAAAAAGCAAAAAAAACCGGCTGACACCAGCACGCGGATGGGAAGGGGAAGTAATGCAGGCTTGCGGCCGGCATTCAGCGTGCGATCAACTTGTAACAGGCCTTCGTCTTGTTGGATTTACGACAAGTGGTTTATAATCAAAGAAGGGAGCATGTAGCAGTCCTAAGCATTATTTGGAACATTGTTGATAAAATCCTGCGGATGCTGCCTCTCTAGGGGCAGTTTTAATGTCACTAAGCTCAAGGAAAAACTCATGATCACCACCAGACGAATTCATCGCACGTAAACAACGAATTTTTCTGATTAAATGCACATTAACATGGCGGTTATAATGTCACTAAGCTCAAGAAAAAAACTCATGATCGCCACCTGACGAATTCATCGCAAGTAAACAACGAATTATTTTGATTAAAAGTTTTTGTTTTTAAATGATTATTCGACTACTGTCTGCATCGAAACGGGCGTGCATGTTAGAAGAAATCCCCTTTATCCTAAGCTTAGGTTTTGCTTTAACTTACATTTAAATCCTCTCCTATAGTTACCTCATTAAAAATCTTAGGATCGCTAACAGTACTTATCACTTATGTTACACTCTGAAACAAATAGAAGATTGCTCAGGAAACTTACATATGAAGTTTAAGGTAATCCAATTAACAGAGACGGATTGGATGCAGTCCTATGACCATCATTATGTGATTATTACGGATAATAAGAAGAGAAAATTTACTTGCCAAATATTAAATCTTTAAGATTACAAATTTAATTGACTGAGAGTCAGCTAAACGTGATCTGAAGTTGGGTTGGACTGGGGTTTTTGTGTTTTCGTGATTCCTGGTATCTTCTTAACCAAACCACAGGCAGCCCAAGCTCCAGCTGTGAGGTGATCGATCATCTTCCGAAATAAGGGTGATGGCGAAATTATAAGAGTTTATATGGGAATATTTACGACCGCTCTTAGGAATAAAAAAAATAAGTCAAATTCTCAATAAAAATACCTCACCTTACTTCTACACCGCATCACTTGTTGTCTGACCGCCCATAATTAATTACCTTCTTAAAAAGAACTTTTTGCGAGTTATCCATCTCTAGTTTTACCACATAAAACATTACTCAAATAGCGTTATTTGAACTTAGGTATCGACAATTTTTCCAACAGAACAAGAACAACAAATAGGTCTTATAATGAAAATGTTATTTACTTTGACAAATGGCTTTGTAGTGTAATTGAAATATGCTTCCAAGGGAGAGATAATACAAATATTAGGAAAAGATAACGTTGTAATATTCTCCAAAGTTGAGAGATGTTTGAGTAGTAAATAATGTGATGGCCGATAAAGAAAGTACTTGCGAACCTAAAAGAACCCTGCAAACGATTTCGTTTTGTTTAATACCGTGCGATATCGGGATTCTGATGACTTTTCAACGCAACAACAATTCATATCTTTCCCCTTATGGGACTGTCTTGAGCTGTTTAGATACATTAAGAATCCCGTCAGTTATTTGCAAGCGATCCTCTTCGCACATTTTTTGTCAAAACGAACTTATCAGGATGCCAGACGAGTGTTTGCATGCTTTCATTCCTTGCTCGTTTTTTGTCAAAACGAGTAAGAACTTATCAGAATGCCAGAAGAGTGCATGCGCGCTTCTCAATAATCTCTTGATATCAATTTTCTGCTTTATTGCGAGCATCACCGCGACCATATCTTCAGAAGTCCCATCGCCAGGCAAGGGACATCACCATATCTTATTGTTCGAGGAGTTGTCTCGACAAATCTCTTCGAATTCATTTGATATGATATTCGAATCTACCTCTCCCTTTTTTAACTGCCATAAATGGATGTTTTAATTTTGGAAGCAGCTCATTGTTAAACGCCTCTTCCTTTCGTTGCACCTTACCCACAACTATATCATAGTCACAACTTTCCCGTTCCATGAATAGGAACTTTATCGCTTCCTCGGTGAGTACCTCCAAAATATATATGTAAAAGGAAAATCATCAGTTTAACCGAAAGTTCGATTTCTCTCGAGGTGGCGCACACATATCCCTACCGCTCCTTTGTTGTGTTTAAGCAAAGAACAACGTTTTAAAAAGGATATAAAAAATTTTTCGTTAGATACACAACTACTAACTAACTTAATTTAACCTAAGAAACATGGACAACTGAATATATTTTCGCTGCTAGTTACATAACGTTGCGTAATGAAAGATGATCATACTTAATTCTTCGCAGGTTAACAATACGTAATGAACACTAAGTTTGGGGCCTATTTGCAATCAACACCACACCTTTTTTCGTTTTCCAAGTAACATAGAACCCTTTCTTTAGAGTCCTGGTTTGCCCTATATCCGAGCTTATCGGAGTTGCTCTTCCAAAAGAGTTGGTTTCGATATTTGAGGAAAAACTCGCACCACACCTTTCAGTCAGTAGAACTAACTACTGATCTCACTCTGTATTCAACACGCACAAAAAACGTACATGTCGAGTGAGATTGACTGCAACACTCGTATTCTATTCGAAACACACAAAACGCACATTTAAGCAAGATTGACTTCAAGTCTCGTATTCTATTCGGCACGCACAGAAAACGCACATGTCGAGTGCGATTGACTACAAGTTTCGTGTTCTATTCGGCACACACACAAAATGCTCATCTTAGTTAAGGCTGACGTCTAGTCTCGTACTCTATTCGACACGCACAAAGACGCACAAAACGCACAAGTCAAGTAAGATTGACTACAACACTCGCGCTCTATTCAGCACGCACAGAAACGCATATGTCAAGCAAGATTGCCTCAAGTTTCGCACTATATTCGGCACACACAGGAAACGTATATTTCAAGTAAGGCTGAATACAAGTCTTGCACCGTATTCGACACATACAGAAACGCACATGTCAAGTAATATTGCCTCAAGCCCAGCACTCTGTTCGGCACACTCAGGAAAAGCACATGTTGCAAATAATGAAGCTTTCCTTGCCTGACATGAAGTTACAAGTTTTGAGTTTAAAATTCAAATGGTTGAGCTTATACATCGTCTCTTAATTTGTTTGAGAGAGAAGTTTTGATGTTTTTATAGGGACATAGCGACGGATTTTGTAACTTAAGCAACAGGACGAATGGTTCTGTCTCGTAATTTTGAAATTTTTGTAAATGCCTTTAATAATCAGCAATCGCAGGTTGTTTTAACCAAAACTGGGGTTTTCGTAATTTTTGTTTGAAATCACACACTACCTTTGCTGTGTGATAACAACGCGGTAGAGATGGATATTATGCATTCAATTTATCTTCCATTTACACTTACCATTTTCACAACCTAGTATTCTAAAAGTTCTACCGTCACTGAAATAATTCAGGATTGGAAAATGTTACTAACCCAAAACTGATTACATTTGGAAATGAGAGTAAGAAATTACAGTCCGACGAATATTTTCTAAAAATTGGTGCAGGGGAGACAAAAAATGGCTAATTGTAATTGAGCTGGGCGGATTTCTACTTTATTATCGCTCTCTGTCTGTCTTTTGCTTAAAAGGCACTGTTGATGATTGCTGAAAATTGAAACTGAAGGCTGAGGCAGTACTACGAAACTGTATCTTGCCTGACAAATATTGAGTAACCACATGGTTCCGATTGCAATAATCGATCGATCCATTCCGATCGGCAATAATTTTTGCATCTTATTCTTTTCGGCATGGTGCTCGATTCGATTCGATTCGTCGAGATTCGGCATTTTACAGGCCGCCTGTCATAAAACCAAATTATTCTGTAACACCCCCCTTCAACGCACTACCACAGATTGTTTAGAAACGTACCCCCCTTCGAGGAAAACTGAAAACTGAAGGTTTGGGTTTGTTTTAATGCACTTTCTTGAACACTGTTTAAGTCGCATCAACTCGTAAAATCGTTCTTAAAGTTAACCTCCACGTCTCAATGGCTAGAGTAGGAGATCTAATGCTACTTTTCTCAAACCTTAATCTTCAAGCTCGAAACTGGGAAATATCCATTAACACAGATTCTTAAGAGTTGTTTTGTCTCCGTTTTGTGGCTGTAATATTGAAACGAGGATATAGACAAAGATTAAGACTTTGCACGCTACTCAAACAAAACATTTGATATCAGTACCCACACCTACTAACTTAGTATATTCATGATAACAAAAACTGTTTTAGGAATGAAACGTGTTTTTACTACAACATAATCTTTTCCCTATGGTTCTACAGTCCTTGGCACTTTTAACAACCACACCAGTGCAAGAATCACTTCAGAGTCGCTTAACTTGTTTCCAGTCAAGTAGTACTCTAGGGCTCAGATGCGTTAAGAAAAGTCGCCATCGAGTCATCTAGGGCTTCCATAAATGTAGAGTGGTGAATTGGGGACTGGGTTCCAGTAAACTTGCTTGCGTGGCTTCGATCTCTGTAAGTGAGGATGTTCTCACGTTTGTGTTGTTGCCAGTCATAGAACTGCTGGGTGGTGTCCAGGTCATATCCGTACTCTGCATCCTTGGCGATATCGACTAAGTATTCAGTCTGAAAGTCTACGGCACCGTGATAGTCCTTCACTTCATCCATTCTGAAATAATGGGAAATGAGAATAAATAGGTAAATGAAGGAATAAATAAATGGAGAAAATAAAATATGGTGAGTGAATGGTAGAGTGGCGGATCCCAGATGGACAAATGTTTTTGTTATTGGGGCTTTTTATATTTTGTTTTTTGGGGAGGGTGGGCAACGTTTATTTCCACTCAACCACGTTTTCTTGACATGTTCTGTAACTGATCCGTTACGTGGTCACTCTTGCTCGAATGAATTTTTTTATTTTAAGTTTACAGCCAGTAACTAAAAAGAAAGAAAATTGTGATCCAAGATTTCCAAATATCTACACGTTGTGGATTTCATTTCATTTAAACAGCGACGAAGTATTTTTTAAAGTTAGAAGATGAAGGCTTATTGAGCGCATTCTAATTGATTGTGGTTGTTGTAACATTAGAATCAAAGTATCAAAGAGAAAAGTGGCAAGTGAAAACTCAAAGCAAAATCGCCTAAACTGGCCTAAACCTTTAACTCTCAGATTAAATTTGCAAGTCTCCTTACTGTCAACCATACAATTCTTATAATGTTAGTTCAGAGAATTAAGTATTGAATCACCTAATTATCCCCAAATTGATATTTTTCTATAATTCTCATCTGTTATCTGGTTGGTGTTTTATTGATATTGTAAGGAGAAATTCTGTCTTGGTCACTCATGGGAGTTAAAGGGTTAATGGCAAGAAAATGCGAGTGAGCGATGAGCTTTGAATCTAAAATACAAGTCGCGATTTCTTTTAGTTTCCTTTGATTATTTTGAAGGATGACGCTAGTTTTCTAAAGCAATTAAGGTGGGGCAAAACCGAAAAAGGAATTTTACATAATTCATTCAACAAACCAGGGAAAATTGATCCATAACTTATTACTTTGCGATCCATTTCGCTATATCCTCCTCCATAGCTTCCTTGTCAGGAAGTTTGAGCTCCCCTGTGATACAATTCACGGTCCACTTGGCTTGCGCGTCGAACATGGTGAAGCTGTAGACCTGGTTTTGCATTCCAATGTAGAAAAACTTGTTGTTGCCAGCCTCAGTCCACAGTACATTCTTGTACATCCCGGCAGGGTACAAGATATTCCTGGTCTTCAGTCGGAGGCGCTCTTCAAGGAATGGGAAGTGGAAGTAGTAGCCGGTGCACAAAATGATGGCGTCCACATCGGCAGTGGTACCATCCTTGAAGTGGACAGTTTTGTCTTCGATATTGGTTAGCATTGGTCTCTCAGTGATCTCAGGGGGCCACTTGAAGCCCATCGGTCTGGTCTTAAAGGAACAAATGATCTTCTTGGCGCCATATTTGAGGTTTTGCAAAGCGATATCCTCAGCGGAATGGCTGGAGCCAACTATAAGGATCGTCTGTCCCTGGAACTGATAGGCATTTCGGAAGTCGTGTGAGTGCATCACGCGGCCAGGAAACTCTTGAATCCCTGGAAAAGAGGGAACGCTCGGCACAGAAAAGTGACCGGTCGCCACGATAAGGTAGTCAAACTTCTGAACAGGAAGGTCTTTGTCCTCGACAAGGCTTTTGACAACAACTGAAAAGTCGTCAGTGTTATCATTGTAGGTCACTTGGCGGACGACATGGTTGAAATGAATCAAATGGCGAAAATCGCCTTTGGTCCAACGACCTGATTGAAGATTAAAGAGAAACGCTGTCATTGTTAAGCTACGTACTAGAAGAGCAATTATCAATCAAGTTTCGAAAATAATCCGGGATAACTTTGGTTCTGCCTTTACTTCGTTCTGTGCCATCAATCAGACGAAGATCAAACCCATTCGTGACTTGGACACCCGCGTTTTCCCGCTCTTTAGCAGATTGCCAGTTTCTGGCTGAACATAAAGGAAACCTTTCACCTGATTGGCTTTCGTGATAACTCTGGTTTTGGTATTTCGACAAACAATTGAAAACTGCTCCGGTGTTTTTCAATTTGTCAAGCTACACGTCACTCGTCTACAATCATTGTATAGTTTTCTTTTCATCACGAAATTGAGAAAACCAATCACAACAACAACAACAAAAAACACGATCGGAGAGCTAACCAGCAGGTAAGTCGTGGAGATAAGAAAAATACGCACCTTTCAGATAATCATAGAGAACCTCTCTCGGTGGAAAAGATGGAATTGGCTTTTTATAATGTTCTTCAAAAGTGTAGTCAGGAAACTCATTAACTTCCTTCGGACTATTAGACCAGAGGCCTTTGTACATACTTCCATGGACGGGTTCGCCAAACTGATCGATACCTGAGAAAAAAGATGTGTATTTTTTTATTTCTCTTTCAAGTCATTGTCCCCTTGGACCCTGTGCCTCAGTACGCATACAGACCTAGTGGTTTCTCAAGGCAGCGTTTCTAATCTATGATAAAATTTAGAACAGTTATGATTTTTGTCACATTGCCTTTCCATTTTGTTTGGATGATTCACTTTCCTCACAATCCACCATTTTCTTCTCACCCTTTTGAATGCGCTTGTAAATGATGCTGTATGTTTTAGAAGAAACGATTAGAAAAAAAATTACAGAAAATTCCTGGTCCCGGCAGCTAAGCCTTATTCCCACTCCTAAAAGAATGCAGCCTTTATCAGAAAGACAACAGAAGATCATTGGAATGGAAACACGGGCTCTGAAATTTGGGTATCGTGTCGTTCGACGTATTGAGAAACATGAATTATATCCAGAAAGTCCACCCATTTAAACGTTGTTAAAAGAGTGTGTAAAAGCGCATTGAGGACTACTTACCAGTTTCCCAGGAGTATTTCCAGAGACCTCCCCAGTCCGACTGCTTGTCGTAGCACACAATTTCGGGGATTTCTTTGCCTTGTTTTCTCAGTTTATTAAAGTGAAACAGAACTGACATACCACTGGGACCTGCACCGATCACACAGACACGCTTCGCTTTGAACATCTTTACGTTTGTTGGCTCCAACTGTCGAAAAAAGAAATTTTATATAATGACGCTTTGAAAAATCAATCAGTGTTTTGATTGATATTTGTTCGAAAATACACGCCATAGGTTCCCGGTCCATCTTAATTTGAAATGAATTGATCTCCATTCTCTTACCCGGCAGGGCCGTAAGGGGCCGACGACGTATTGCGTATTACGTACTGCTTCTAAAAGCACTCAAAATTTCCCCAGGAAAATACACAGAAGAGGGGTGTAGGCGCCTTGACATGGATCGTGTTTGTGGTGCTGAGTACAAACACAGCGACGAAAGGAAAAAGAGGAGAAAGGTCCTAAGGGGACAAAGAAAGAAGAAAGAAGACAAGAACCAACAAGCAGAGGGTGTTACTCATGCTGCTAGAGCATTTTAAGACACTTCCTCTGCTCAGAGATTCAACAGAGAGTTTTCAAACCCAAGTACAACTTTTAAATGCATTTTTCTGTCAAAGTGCATTTTGATAGAACCCCGAGTAGCTCGACATGTGTAGTTCAAAAACTATTTGAGATAATTTCATGAAATTTTCCACAGAAAATCTTGAATGGTGCTTCTGTGCAATAAACCTACAACAAAGTAAAAAGGTAAATTGACCATTCAATGGCAGGCAAATTTTTTGCAGAAGGAGCCCAATTTCAGTATTTGACATGGTTATAATCATGTTGTATCATTGCACAGAACTAGTATGGATACCACTCCTTGGTATAACTCTGTAACTTATGGTAGGCACTCACTGCGACACTTAGGACCTAAATTATGGGCGAAGCTGTCATCGAATGACAGATCAGCCACAATAATTAATGAGTTTAAAAGGCGCATTCGTGGCAAAGATCTGGCTGAGTTAATAGAAACCGGCTGCAAGGGTTGTATCCTTTGCTCAACAAGACATTTTTACCTTTTTTTCACCTTAATACTCATATTTTAATGTAGACGTCTTAGTCTTTTAATTCTGTACTGTATTTTATATAATTCTGTGTTGTATTTTATACTAATATGCGTCCCCTTATTAGTATGGGTTCTCCCAGGCTACACGGTTTGACACTTTGATAAAGTTTTTATTATTATTATTATTATTATTATTATTATTGTTAGCGGTTGAATGGTAAACGACACAAAGGATTATTGACGAGATCGATCTAGGTAGGTTATGAGGCCTCAAAGAGAGCCACAAAGATTCCACATCCGGCTGCTCACACTGAAATAATCGAGTGCATGGTAAGGTTTGTCTCAAATAAACACAGACCCCTCCACCAGGCGCAGACGTACGATCGTTCCTAAAAAGGTTATACCCCGGCATAGCCTAAGCAGAGTCTGGAATTGGCGGCGACAGCCATGACTCTCAGACACAAACAGCGCCGGGATTGTTACATTATGCGACATATTGCAAGTCATCGACCTTATCGCTGAGGGATCGTAGATTCGCAATTAAGATTATAATGTCGCTCTTTAATTTGTTTTCCAGCTCAAACCCTACGTTTACGCCTCACCATTCCCAAGTCAGAGAGGCTGTTCTCGACATCCCAGGACAGTACTGATGTACATGACTTCAAGGAGAATAGATATTGGGAAGAATAAACAATAGGTTCTGCGTTTTGGAAATTTGCATAACCGCCTGTGGATGAAATTATGCAGGATTGATTTCTCCGTCAGCTTTCTTCAGAATTGGGAGTTATATCTCCTGGGTTAGATTCCACATCCATGCAGATGGTCAAATCCCTAGGGAAATCCAAATCCGTTCTTTGTAGAAGTAGAACCTAAGCCATTTAAAACAGCATCTTTTGGACCTCGGCTTGCTAGAGTAGATCTTATAATGAAAGCTAGCGACGAAGAAAACCGAAACGAGCAACTTGCTTGGAATAACTCGTTTCATGGAGACACCAGTTTCGCTAGCAAAGTCTAGGGCCCCATTAGAAATAATTTGAGAGCCATTAAATAGCAGATGTGTGACTAAATGGTAAGATATTAGATAAAATATAGAGAGCTTAAAAGTTGCGGTCGCCATGTTGGCGCTGACTTTAAACTCTTTAAGGAGGCTAATTTACGTTTTCAACTTATTCAATAACACTTAATTACCCTATGTTAAACTTCGTATATTGGCTCTTGAAAGTTTGTCCAGCGAGCTAAACAAACTGAAACCTAACTTCGCCGAACTTAAAACTGATGATCTCTGTCGGTAAGAGATCATTTTATTGTCAAAAAATGGAAAATACGGTGTAGGGGAATGAATTACTCTAAAAGCCAGATAATGACGATGGCGTTTGAGCTTCAGATCTTTTGTGGCACTTCGCTTATGTGATTAGAAATTTCATACCCGCCTTTGAGAGTTATTGCAATCACGATTGAAAATAAAATTACCTACCGCGCTACAGTTGACCGCAATCAAGGATTAAGACGTTCTGGAAAGTAGGGTTTATCATTGACCAATTCAGTGATCTGTGAGGATACCACTTTTTCACGGACTTTTTAATGACAAAGTACAAGTTTTCCGTGCGAATGATTTTACGAACCTTTCTCAGCCGCGTGCGCTACTTAGGAAGTTTGGAGAGCACTCAAGAAGCTAGAGTTGCTCGAGGCGTTGCTCGAGGCGTAGCCTCGAGCAACTGTTATGTATCTTTCGTGCTCTCCTAAATTCCCGCGCGCTTCATATCTCGATGAACGCACGCTAACGTATGAAGCAATTGTTTTATAATATTTTCAACCCGATGGAAAATTATTTTTCTCGAGGGATTTGTTTCCTGACGTCATGAGCGTGCACTATAGGAATATGAAGCACGCTCACGCAATTGAATTTCATTAGACAAATTCGCTAGCTATGTTATAATAGGATTTATCTTCCAACAGAAGGAAATGCAAATATTGCGGTTAACTGACGTCAATGTGATTTAAAATAATTTTTCACGAAATCCTAAATAGATCGTCGCAATCGTCCTTAAAATGACTTTTCTCCCTTTTTTCCATCTCTTGAACTCTCCCGTAAAAGTTATCATCTTGAAACGTGATTTGAAAATGAAAACGTTCCGAGAAGTATTTTTTTCGATTAGGGTGTTGGTGACTGCCGGCTACCATTGCCAACCACACACCATGGCATTTGTTAAGACTTGCAAAAAAATGTCACGAAATGTGACGTCATTGAACTAATCTTGGTTTGAATTTGGGTCTAGTAACGTCACGTTTTCTGTCCCTGTCTGATGTCACGGTGTTTGGTTATCAAAAGTCACGTCTCGCGCATGCACATTTAGAGGGGAGAATATAGAGCCTGGCGCCATATAGCTAAAGATCGATTGTCTTAATTCGTAACGTTTGAACTGCTGTCATCACGTTTTGTTATTTTCTTTTGATAGCCAGAGAGAACAGCATTACAAAGGAAGCTTTTGTCATGTAATAATTTATTGTTTCTAAATATACACGAATCCTTATGTTTTTGAATAGATCTCTTCATCGATGACATTCATTGTGACTCCTTATACACGCAGCTGCACTAGTGACAACAGATTGAGTAATTAACTAATTGATCAAACTCTCTTTACCTGATTACTCAATCATGCAAACTGATTAAGGCATCCATTTTGCGAACGTGCTCTGATATTTCGCGTTTTGAAACAGCCGTGGCCATGTCAATTTCGCCGAACGCTGCTTGAAAATTTCTCGGTGGTTTTTACAAGAAGTGTGTCACTGAAACACATCACTTCAACAGCGATGTGTTTGTCTTCTTCGATGACGAAGCTAGTTCTAATTTTTGAGCGTCCAGGAATGAAATGAAAAGTTTTATGCAGGCGCATGGGATCCGCGTCAGATTTCCGTCAAACAGGCTTTCATAGTCCTTTTGTACTTAACGATGAGTGTTTCGTAAGTGAAAAGAGAAAGTTACACCTAGCCTAGGAGTGACTAGCATCTAATTTCTCATTACAATATCACCACTGAATCACACATTAACGTCATGAGAATATAGTAAATGATCACTAACTAAAGAAACTCTTGATTGTTAAACAAATTCTCCATGTCGGCACCTTAGTAAAAGTACAGAGAACAGAATGGAGAATATGAATTCTGATGGTAAGGTGTAAAGGGTTAATAAAAAACCACTTCTGGTTTTAAAAAGATTTTATTCGACTTCTTACTACATCGAAGCGAACGGAGAAAAGTAATTTTCTACCAACGTCCTGTCCGCTCCACTTTTCTAAAAGCTACTTTTCTTAGTTTCACGAGCGTGCATGTTTGAAAAGTTCTCCACGCTGAAAATTTCAAAATGAAAACATTTTACTTAATGCTTATATTTCCTACATCGCATTAAGATCCTTTCCTAACGTGTACTTCTTTAATTTTCAAAGGATCTCCAACAATACTTTATACTTACGATACACTCTAAAACAATACTTAACAAATATTCGCCAAAGTTGAGGTGAATAATGTTGGATATTTACCAAGCCACGAAGCGGCGAGGTGAAAGTACACCACCGACACTGGGGTGAATAAATGTTTACATATATAATACACACATAACAAAAAATATACCAAGGAATGGTCGGAAGTTAAACTCTTGACGCGCGATTTTGTCTCGTCGGCTGCTCCGACTGCTGGGAAATGAATGGTACTTGTAATTCACTTCCGCAATAGCCAATCAGCGCGCGCGAAAAGCACTATTCACCTGTGTGGTTTGTACTAGTTACGATTAACAAATGGTAGTTGTCGACGTTTACATAAAAGGAACTCCAATCATTAAAGTCTGACCGAACGTCGTCCTATGACAATAATATGATTCTTACTGGCAAAAAGATATGGAAATTGCATGAATGCGAATAATCTTGTGACCATTATGGGCTTAAGCCGTTAGCGAAAACACTTTGGAAAGCATTCTAAAAAATTAAGAATTACCATACATCACAAAATAGCAAGCAGGTCATGCAATTTTTTCTTTACTATATTCACTACGAAATAACTTTCTAACGCTTCGTTGCAAGTGCTGGGTTTATAAATCTTAGTTCTTACGAAAACCTCCGCAAGTTTCTTTATGTAAAGCACATATGCTGTACAAGGTAACCGGCTAACCCTTGTTTCACTCTCCTCAGTTGGAGCAAAATTCAGCCCTTTGCTGACACTTAATCTATCCGATAAATAACACTTGCCAAATCTGAAATCTTTAAATTATAGAAATTTAAACAACTGAGTGTCAGATGTAAGTAATATTAAGTTGCACTAAATTTGTGTTCCCGTGTTTTCGTGATTCATAAAAAAAGATTCATTACAATACAGACGGGAACAACAACAACTTGCACCAATCACCGCTGAGAAGTGATAACGTTCATGTTGTACTTCCAATTTCGGTTTTCACTCGTATGATGTATTCTCTTTCACATGACATAATAAATTAAACCAAGCAAAAAAAAATTCGGGTTTGTTTCGTTGCACGCATCGAACACCATAACATTCATATCAAAGTTTATAATTGTTAAGTTAACATTCCATGCCGCTGACCAGTGTAGAAGATCTAGTCAACCCTTGAACGCACTTAAGTTACGTTCTATGCTGTGTTATAGGTCTACTGTCTTCACAGTGTTAGTGAAAATGGAGAAATGTTTGGGAAGAAAAACAAGGCAATCACACTATACTTAACCTTATAACCCCTAAGAGTGACGAGCATCTAATTTCTCCCAACATGAAGGTCACGAGAAGGAAGGAAATGATGCAAACTCCAGTTACACTAATTACCCCTGTAAGTACCGTAGGAAGTGTCTTTGAGAATTTCATTCTGATATTAGGGTGCCCAGTCAACTTTTAAATGCAGGTGAAAAGAGAAAAAAGAAGAAACGAATAACTAACACAACAAAGCAAGGTGAAAGGCACAATCACGCTTGTACCACCTAACTCAAGTTACCATGGAATACTACCAATAATTGCCTGAAAATGGACATGGGACTTGTTTACTGACTAAAGGCACAGAAAATACTGCATTTGACATGCAGTTTCTACCTCCTTTCCTTGCTCACTTAACCCTTTCACCCCTGAGATCTCATTAGTAATTCTCCTTACATACGACCATACAATTTTTAAGATCTCAGTTTGGAGAATTCGGTATTGGATCAACTAATATTACCTTAGCTAATATTTTTCTTTATTCTCATCACTAGTCTATTTGAAATTGTTTTGATATTGTAAGGAGAAATTCTCTCCTCATCACTCATTGGAGTGAAAGGGTTTAAGGGGTAATTTTTGAACAAAGACTTTACCAATCAGTTTTTGTTTAAGTAGATTCTCTTCCTGAGTGTGACAACAGGAGCTGGGCACTGTTTGTAACCCCTTTTGGTGAATGCATCTGACACTTCATCATTAACCTTCACCATCATGGTCGTCACATCATATCTCTCACAATACTTTCGGAACACTTCACAAAGCTTGGAAACATACCAGGAGCCATGGATTTGACTTCTCCAGCTGACATAACCTGTTAAGAATGAATTCAAAGTCAAAAGAAATAATTACATGTACATTTATTGAGCAAATGAAAATCAATAAATTATAAAATTATTCATTTAATAGTCTGTCACTCCTTTTTCCTTCTCTCTTATGGCAAATAAGATTCTACATTTAAAAATATTACTTAAAAACATTAGCAAAAAGTGTTCATTGTAATGCTTGTGACAAGAGGAGAAACCTTTCACACCACGAAACCTGTGAGTCAGTGAGTGAATTCTCTGAGAAATATTCATGACATACAACAAACAGACGTAGAATAACCGCAATTTCTGACTGAAATTCACCTTTTACCATGATTTCAATGAGAATTTACCTGGAGGGGTGGCATAACCCAAGAGAAAATGGCTTTCATTTGGCTCTGCATTATTCCTCATGGCATCTTCAGGATTGCTTTCTACTGCATCAGCTTCAATCCAAGCTCCTCGATCAAACGCTTCCCCCCTGCAAGCTTGGATGAAGAACAATTTGGGTTTGTTAGCAAGTGATGGGCAGGCCACGCCTTTGAACATGGATGTAATGGTATTTATCTCCAGCAATTCACTATTTGTGCCATAGATCGCTCCATTGGCTCCATGGCTAAGCAAGCAGCAAACAAAGCAGTCAAAGTTTGAGTGATCCATTGTTGAGATCCCTCTCATACAATCATACATTTCATGTGACTGCAGCTCTGCTCTGACAATTACTTCAAAATGCAAGAATTCCCATAGTTCACGGAGCTGATCCACATCCTTTTGATTTCCTTGGCGGTCTCTCAAATCAGGGTTTCCCTGGAAGTGTTCATTACTTATAATCAGTGCAATACCACGTGGCCGGTTTCTCATGGGATAGGAAGGCATTGCATCTTCCTCGTCAACCCCTAGTTGCCGCATGGGAGCAACGATTTCTGCTGGATTAGCCAGTGCCTGGACAGGGAATCGTGGTTCAATGTTGTCTGGACCTCCATCCCGCCCACCCATGAAATGTGCAGGAGAAAGTAAAGGTACACTTGGTGGTCTTGGCTCACCCATCTGGTGCACTATTGGCTGCTTCCCAGTAACTAAAGGTCTGAGTGGTGGGGCTTGAGTTGATGCAAATGGGCGTTGGTCATTGATTGGTGATTGAGCTGGCCGGTCAATTTTGGCCGCACTGGAACTTACACCTCCTACATTAAAAAGATAAAACACACAAGTTATCCAAAAAACACACAATCAACAAGAAAATCAGCAAAATAATTTTTTAACACTTCTGGTATATTCTTAACTCTTTACATCCTAACATCAGTGTGCATATCCTCTTTACTGTTCTCTAAACATTTCATAAGGTGCTGACAAGGAGAATTTGTTAAAAAATCAAGAGCTTTTTTCATAGGTGATCAGTTCCTTTATTCTCCTGACCTTAACGTTTGATTCAGGAGTGATATGGTGAGGAGAAATTAGATGCCAGTCACTCTCAGAGGTTAAAGGGTTAAACCTTTAATTCCGTATCACCCTTTGTAAGTCTAACACATTTGTCTTAAATGTAGAAAAGTCACCGTCAAGAATAAGCAGAAAATTGGGATATGATAATTTTTCCAATTTTTTAAATATGCCAGAGAAATCACAGCCATTGCAGTAAGAACCAAGCACCAGGTCTGACACTGGTGAGGGTCGTGATGTCAACTTGCTATCCCTATGTAGGGCATGGCCTCACATCCATGATGTCCCAATAGTCAACTCACCATGCAAAGAGCCACACTACAGCTAATAGGTAATTAGCCCAAAATGCCTGCTAAAAGCGTGTTAAAAAAAAGTGTGTACATGTGTGCAACTTTCTGAAACATGCTTCAAAAATGTGCGCCAAAGAAGCTCATTAGTACGTATGAGGTAGCCTTTTGTTTTACTCTTTGTTTAACTTTGAATGGTGCATTAAGATTTTAAAATAATAGAGGGATTCCAATGTTGATGACATTATGTTGGTGTGTTGTTTATATTATTTAGAAGAAAATGGAGAAATATTTTCAGTTAGTGACAAATGAAAGAAAGCAAGAGGTACAAGTGCAAGTCAGTTTAACTTCTTGATGGAGCAGCATCTACAGCAATTTTAGATCCCTTGAACAAAGTTGTCACAATCTCAGGCTGGAATCTTAAATAATCCAGAGTAAAAAAGTGCATCAAGTTTATTATTGACATCTTAAAAATTTTGCAAACATATTTTATGAAATACTAGTGGAATCATTTCAATGCTTCATTGAAGCCACAGCCATTGTGACCTTTAGATGTTAAGATTTAATGCTTCAGTGCAAGCATTTTGAACAGGAAACTTTTGTTTTCTGAAAGAATGCAGAACAAAGCAAGCTGACTGCATTAAATAACAAAAGCAAAACCACACTCAAGACATGCTTAATATGCATTTTTTTGCCTGAAACATGATAAATGTATGAAGGTTTTCTGTGACCTGTCTCTGACCTGTATTGAAGGATTGCCTAAAGAAGGAAAAGGAAAACCAAGAGTTTTCAGTCTCTTTAGCACTCAGCCAGACTCAAAATGGCACCATCCATTAACAGATTTTAAGCTAATTTGAAGACAACTTTCTGAAGGTTTGCTTTTTGGAATCCCAAATGTGACCCTTTAGCACTTGAGAGTGATTAGCATCTCCTTACAATATGACCTCTGAATCAAATATTAAGGTCACAGGGATAAAGGAAATGATCACCAACAACAGACAAAGCTCTTGACTGTTAACCCTTTTCACTCTTGGGATCTGATTGTTAATTCTCCCCTCTAGCTGTTACACAATTCCTTGTAAATTAGTTGCGAGAATTTGGTGAAAGATCAAGATAAAACTTCCATCTGATAAGTTTGAGTATTCTGAATAACCATTTGCTAAAAATAGCGTGGAAATTATAGGGGAAAGTTGCAAGTTAGTCACTTTTGGGAGTTAAAGGGTTAAACAAATTCTTCTTGCCAGCACCTTAGGAAATGTATAGAGAACAGTATGGAGAATATGAAGAATGATGTTAGGGTATAAAGAGTTAAGCGTGGAATTGTGAGGCTACTAATTACAGTGTATGTATTAGTATTTGCATGCACCAGGTTTCAATGTAAGACAAGAATATAAACTCAAAAACAAAAGGAGCATACTATCTGATTGGAATTTTCTGACTCTCTCTGCTAAGTCTCTGCGATGTATTTCCTGTAGCATGTCAGCTAGGTGGTCCAAATTACAAGGTCCAATACTGCCACATTGAATCATATACTTGAAGAGGTCTTTTCCATTCTGCACATTTTCATCAATGCCATCTGAAATAAATAACACAAAGGTCCTGAATTCCTATTACCCTAGGAGTGTAATACAGATGAATCTTTTTTCACTTGCAAAGATTAAAATTTATGGTCATTTCAAGATTTTGCTGCTTTTTATAATTAATTATTACCTGTAAAGAGGACAGATCAAATAAAATGACAAAACATGACATAATTAATCCCACATTGCTCAAAGAGAAGTACTCAAAAGAGAAGTTCTAAGCACAATTAGTTATAAACAAAGAGTTTAGGTATTTTGGAAGAGTGGTCACTTAGAGCCAATGGTCATTATGAAAGAGGGCAATACAGAGAGTATTATATACCCAAAAAGTGGGTGTGACCTGCTTTTACACTCAAGGGCTCTTCTTAAGGAGAGGGCTTTCCCTGTGTCCTTATCACAGAGACTTCCCATGGTTTAACTGCTGAGGAAACTCCCATAATAACGACTAGGGTAATATTTGGGGAAAGAAACTTCGTAGCACATAGCAGACTATTGATCTGTGGGTATAAGGCCTTAATTTCAGGTTCAGTTGCATTCCCTCACAGTACAGACACTTAAAAATGAATTTCACTTCTTCTTCTTCTTCTAAGTTTCGCTTGATAGTAGTTTAAACATTAAAAGGTGCTAAAATGATATATGAGGTTCTACTCAGAAAACTCTAGGCGCTAAGGATATTTCGACAGTTTGATGAAACGAAATATAAAACCAAGTTAATTACCCGGTAAATCAGAAACAAACTTCAACGAGTCGACGTTATCTCTCGTTAATTCATCACTAAGTTTCATCAGGAAAGCTTTATAACTCTTGTCGATTGGATTGCTAGACACGGCGCTCTCTGTTTCCATCGTGGTGTCGTTACCATTCGTTTGAATCTTACCAGCTAGATCTGCTCTACCAATCTGAGTCAACAAGCGCTCTAAATGACTCAAATTACCCGGACTTATCATTCGTCTCTGAAGCATGATCTGGAACAAGATGCTTGGACTCTTCGATTTTTCGAGGTCGCCCAAAGGTATCCGTCCGTGGCACAAGTGCTTTATATTTTGAAGATCCCGATCTCTCATCTCGTTAGAAATCTTATACAGGATACGGTTAGTCTCCGAGAAGCTATTCATCTCGTTCAGGAGCAGATATGTTTCGAAATTACTGCTAACATTCAAACATCGTCTCTCCAATAACAGAGGCCATTTTGACCTTTCCGAAGTATGAGGGAGACTGGGTTGAGGGAAAGTCCCGATGATGACGTCATTATGAAACCACAGTAAATCCATCTAATACTGTATTTCACCTTTGGCAGAAACGGCTTCGAACAAGTTTCGCAGATTTCAAATTTCTCTGAATTATGATTCTATTATGTGTAATTACTAAGTAAACAATCATTTTTAGCAATATTATTTCAAAGCTGGTTTTTTAAAAAAAATGCTGCAACATTTACTTCCGGTATGACATCATGAAGCTTTCAATCCCTACAAGCAACGCGCGCCACTTTGTAAGCTTCCTCTTTGTTTTTCTGTCAGCCTCTAGCCGAAGCTACCTGAGGTGTCCTTGGTTTTCCTTATTTAATCCTAGAAATGGTAAGATTTGAATAAAAAGAACATTATTTTTGATTCATTTGATGACATTTTTTGTCTTTGGTGACACTTTCTGCATGTGGGATGATGCGATGGCAGAGATATCTCGAGATGGCTTTTACGAAAGTGTGACTCTTATCTTGGAACGTTGTAATTTTCCAAATAGGGATTTGTCAAAGTAATCAAGAACAAAGCGTACTTCAAGCGTTTCCAGGTCAAATTCAAGAGACGACGAGGTCAGTTTTACCTAAAGTACATGACAACAAACTTTCCTTAAAGTCGCTGTTGCCTTTTTAAGTCAAATCTTCCCATGCTACAGGAACTCACCGTTACATGGCTGTGTTTTGTTCTTATAACAGAGGGTAAAACCGATTATTATGCCCGTAAACGTCTGGTGACCCAGGATAAGAACAAGTATAACACGCCTAAGTACCGATTTGTCGTTCGTTTCACAAATAAGGACATCACATGCCAGGTAGGTACTAAACTTGTAGAGCATCGTATGTAAATCTTAGTTTCCCCATATTTGTAAAAACACGTGGAATCTAAAAGTTCGTATGATCTAGTAAATAATTCTCCTATTTAGCTGCGGCACGATTATGTGTTAATTTGATTAAGAATTTGGATGAGTTCAAGACATCGTTTCCCAGCTGATGTCTGTTTTGACTGTCGTGGCCTGTTTGGCTAATAGTTCTATGAAATTGTGAGAAGGGAAGATTTACTCATCAGTCTAACAAAGAAGAAGAAGAAGAAGAGGGTTAAATTTTGAGGAAAACTGAGGTACTGGATCTGTGCAAATTGAACAAGATTTAAGAGGCAGATGTGGCCAACTAATGGCCAGTGCACTGGACTCTGAGTTCAGAGGTCTGGGTTCAAGATCTTGCAGGGTCATCCTGTTGTGTTCTTGGGCGAATAGGGGTTACATGGGTACTAGCAAAATTTCAGGAAGTGTGATGAAATGCTGAGTAGTAACTCTTCCAAAGGACTGTAGTCCCATCCAGGGGAAAGAGTTTTACTCCCAGCCACCTCATTCTACAGAAACTAGGAAATAACCTCCAGTTATTGTTTTACACAAGATTAATACTTAATTATGAATATTTTGATGGGTGTCTAGAATTCTACTGGAATAACATGGCTCAATAAAAGTTGATATCATCAGATTTCATGTTCCTTAATAACTGTACAACTTATTTAATTGTGAATGCATGGGTTCAAGTATCTGATACTATTATGTGAATATTTTGGATTGCTGTAAGTGTCGTTGTACTCTAGTTATAGTAGGAAAGTAGATCAGTTTCCATTTTTGTTGAGTGCTTGATTTGAGTTGTGCAACTTTTCCCAAAGTTGTGTTAATCTATTCTGTGTTTTTCCTCTTTTAATAACTGTATCTGAAAACATTGTTTTGTCTAAGATTTCAACATTAAAAAAATACAAATATTTGTAATCAGCCTAGTTTTACTTACTGTAACTCATTATATTGCAGATAGCGTATGCCAAACTCGAAGGGGATGTTATCGTTAGTGCTGCTTATGCACACGAGCTTCCTCGTTATGGCATCAAGGTCGGGTTGACCAATTATGCTGCAGCTTATTGTACTGGTCTTTTGCTAGCACGTCGTGTAAGTTCTTTTGCTCCACACAATTAATCAATCGATATACATTAACTTATTACTTATTTAATTTTTGTTTTCATTTTTCCCTGTCTTTCTTCTTTTGGTAATCAGTTTGTGTATTCCAGTCAATAAAGTTGGGATGATATGTTGTGGGATCCATTTTCACAGCTAAAAAGGAACAATTCAAATAAAAACTATACCCATGAAAGCATCAAAGGGGTTTGTAAACCAAATTTCCAACACTTACATGTAACTCAATCAGTCTCTTCAAAGTTGAGGTTCTCTGCTTTGGCAGGAGTTCCCCTTATACTGTACATAAATATCATCCTTTCTTACCCTCCGCCAAAGTCATACTTTAAGTTTCTATTCAATCATGTTTAATGCATCTTTATGGGTTTCATTCAAAACAAATTGCAGGCGGTCTACTGCAACTTTTCAAGGCCTGTAACTGCCTTTTGGTTAGATTTAATGTCAAGGTTTGTTTGGTAACCCATCATAATCTTGACTTTTAAGAGTATTGCTTCAGCTAACAAGGGCAAGAAAATCTTAGTTCTTCAGAATTTTCAGCTACAGTAAATTGTTGTTGTCAAGATCTGAAGAAATTGCATGTTATTCAATTTGCTAATTTTGATTAGCAGTTGTTTACCTACCTTATTTTCTGTGCTTCCTGTGACAGCTGCTCACCAAACTGAACCTGCACGAGATCTACACAGGAACAGATGAAGTCAACGGGGAGGAGTACAATGTGGAAAGTGTTGATGGATCCCCAGGTGCTTTTAGGGCTTTCCTGGACGTTGGACTGGCAAGAACCACTACTGGAGCAAGGGTGTTTGGTGCTCTGAAAGGAGCGGTAGACGGGGGCCTTGACATTCCTCATAGGTAAGGCAGAATACTGTTTAGATGAGAAAACCTCCAGTGGAATAAAAAATATTCCAATGATTGCAGAACTTGAATCAAACATTGACATTTTGATTTGAAACTATGACAACTGAATCCTTTCATGCCAAGATTGATCTGTACTCAACCCTTTCACTATTAGATCTGACTTGTGACTCTCCTTACTGTATGCCATTTAATGCTTATGATGTTAGTTCAGAGAATTTAGTACTGGATCAAGTAATAATCCACTCATTGATATTCTCTCTATTCTCATCACTCATCTGCCTGATGTTGTATTGATGTTGTATTGATATTGTAAAGAGAAATTCTGTCTTCATCACTCAAGGGAGTCAAAGGTTAACCTTTAAACTCCCAGGACAAACCAAAGACTTTCTCTTTACCAAATCAATACATTTTCAACCAGAAGGGTGCTGAGGAGAAGGAAAAACTCTTCATTATGGTTTATTGTTTGATTAAACACTGAATTCTCCGGGATAGAATTAAAAAAAATGTAACACAGACAAAGCACAGAATTGTCTCTGTGCCATGAGAGTGAAAGGTTGAAATTCTCCTTGCCTCCTTCACACACTGTCAAGCATAAAGGTGGTGAGTAAGGAAAGTATCTATCAGGAATTTATGTTGGGTCTTGCGTATAATTGCTTGAGTATTTGTCTGGAATCTACCATGCTGATTTTATGAACTTTGCCCTACTGAAGTGGTGATTGAATATGAAGAATGCTCTTTGTCTTCAGGAATTGCTTACTTCCTTTATTTTCCACCTAAGTATAGTACATTTTGCAACAGGAAGGACATGGAAAGGGAATCAGTTCAAGGTTACATGTGACCCATTGCTGTCATGTATTTTATTCCCAAGTTTTGCAGTTAATACTCCCAGTGATTTCAATTTGTTGTTCAGCAATGGTGCCCACTACTTAAATCACTTTCACCTAGCGTTTTAATGACAAATGCAATTATTTCTGTATTTCTGTGTCCACAGCATGAAGCGTTTCCCAGGTTATGATTGCGAGTCCAAAGAATTCAATGCTGAGATCCATCGTAATCACATCTTTGGTCAGCATGTAGCAAATTTCATGACAGAGTTGAAAGAACAAGATGAAGAGGCTTACAAGAAACAGTTCTCTCAGTACATTAAGAATGGCATTGAACCAGATCAGGTTAGGACTTACATGTAATTTTCTGTTTGATGAATGTTTTTTTGGTTGACCAAAATGATCTTAGTGTTTCTAGTAAGCAGTATAGTTGACATGCATTTTTGGAGATTGGTGCAGCGTCTTAAGGGCAGCCAAAAAGAAAATGGTAAAGGCAAAAGAAAATGTTTACCTCATTAAAACTCAGAATTTATATTGCTTGCTGTGCAGGGATCAAAATTTTTTTTTAATGCTGTGGCAACCAATTTGGTGGCACTGTAATAGCATAAACAATCTTATTTTAATGGTGATAATCAAGTCCTTTGATTTGAGCAGTCTTATCCAAAAACCACGCAAACTTTCCAGTTCTTCAAATTCTTCATGAACTACAAACAGTCTTGATTCCATGGTGTTCACAGATTGAGGAGCTTTACAAGAAAGCCCATGCTGCCATTCGTGAGGATCCTGTGGCCAAGCCTTCACAGAAGAAGGAAGTCACACCCAAGAGGTGAGCTCTATCAAACTGATTCTGTTCATGGATTGGTTGGTCAGTCACCATGGTGGTATTAAAATCTGGAGTTGCTTTGAACCTATTTGGTTCTGTGACTGTGGACATGGGTTATGATTGTTGCAGTGTCAAGCAATTTTTGAACATGCATTTTTTTTCCAGGTATAACCGCAAGAAGATGTCCCTCCAACAGCGCAAGGCTCGTGTTGCACAGAAGAAAGCTTACTTCCTGAAGCAGCAGGGTGATGGTGAAGATGAGGAAGAGGATGATGAGTGAGCTTGTCAGTTGAAATAAATTCCCTTTGAAGAGCAGAATTTTTTTGTGGTGGTCACTGTTCTGTGTGTTTACTTTTAAATTCCCTTTCCTTTATGCATTTGTTAGTGCGTTTTCCATTACTCTTCTCTATGTGTCTTATGGTACCTCATGTGCATGGTGTCTTTTTGCTTTTTTTTATGACTATCACCATTCCAATACCGTCTAATACCAAATGCAAGGTATTGGACCTGCAAAAATCTGTTGCACGAAAGTTATCATGTTTCAACAGGTAACTATGGGAATGGTGTTACACTGTAGTGAAACAAACCCCTTCCTATTTCCTAGACTTCTGTCTCTAGCCTGAGACTAAGAAAATCACCACAAGAGTTCTCCCTGAAGATTCAAACCTTGCATCTCAGACTATATACCAATTTATCTTCAGTGTTATTGACTCTCAGCCGCCGAGCAACACGTTTACTAAGGGGAAAATGATTTCGAGTAGGAATGGGCTTTGGAAAAAAGGAAAGGGAGAAAAACAACCACAATAACACTGAGGGAAAAAAATGGCGACAAACAAAATTAAACAGTCATTTCTTTAATTTTACCAACCTCGCATGCAAAGGCGCAGAGTCAAGTTTCCTTGAAATGTTAAGCGGTCTTCGCGTAAAACGTGAAACTTGTAACATTGCTTTGCGAGACGAGAAAAACAAATGTAAGCGAAACAGTACCCGATGAGTCCAACTAGAGCATCCAACTAAAAGTTCTACTTAACCGCAAGAAGCGGGACGTGAATTTATGTAGTATGCGCTAGTTGCGCTTGTTGATGAATTCACCTGTCTAGTTTCCGTCCAGAAGATGGCATATTGTCAGAAATTCTGCCCTTTTTAACTCGTGAATTGCGCGCATGCGCAAGAGCGAGTTGTAGATATGGTGTGGAGAATGGCATTCGCTCGCTCGCTCGATTGGTCGATTCCTGTAAACTTTTTTTCGATTTTAGGCTTTTGAGTGCATTTGATAGTTTTTGGCGAGCAATAAACAAACGAAATGTCGACCTTTGTTGCTAAGAATAGTGGTGGGGTGAAAAAGAAGCCAATGATAGTCTTGAAAGAGTTTTTTTTTTTTCGTTTTAGTTTCAACAAGCGGTGCCAGCGACTGGCAGGCATGCAAGGATTCACACTGAAATAACAGAACAACCGTCGTTTTTCATAAAATTGTAATTTACAATCCTTGAACTTGAAAAAAATCCGAAGATTCATTGAAAATATCACTTACTGCGAAGCGCTCGGAGTTTACAGATGTTCAAAAGCTTTGTCTGTTATGGCGTGAGATTGAGGACAAAATCGATCAATACGTTTCGTATCGTTTGTTTCTCCTGTGCGAAGCAATAAAAGATGCCGGCGACTGACGAAATTACAAGTTAACACGAAAATCAAATAACACCCAAACAAACAATTTTAGCTACCGATTTTCAGTGAATTCTTAAAGAACAATTTTCTTTTAAGTTTCAAGACAACTTGAAGATTCAAAATAAATATTACGTACTAAAATGCGAAAGTCATACACCACAAAATTGATAGATAGGCCTGAAATGAAATTCTGTCATGTTATTGATTATACGTTGCCTAGCACGTGACTAAAATCTACCCAGGCGGAGATCCAAAATGACGGTGGCAGTCTTGACTTAGTTATATCACTCAAAATTCGTTCCCGTTTATCTCATTTGATAAAGAAGGAATCGTTAATGTTTTCATTATGACAGTACTGCCTTGATTTTCCAACATTTACAATGATAGAAAGTAAATTTCACTTTTCACCCTCATTTACTTCCAACCTTTTCTTTTGAACCAGAAACAAAAATGATATACGTTTAAAACACATGACATCATCCACCCTTGTCAAATGCAATAGCATGATCACTTCAATTGTAATGCCTTCTTATCCCAACGTTACTTTGTTTCTTTGCTACATTAGCGAACACTGAACTACTGCTCGTACTCTAGATGTGACAATCAACCACAAAATTCCCTAAACCAGATAACATTAAACATAATCCAAAAAATCATGTGTCAATTCACGAGTTTGCTCACAGAGCACTTTGATTCTAATTTTGATATAAACAATCATTTTCGTGCTTTTTTATGCCATAAACGTTTGACGCTAGCTAGATAATTTGGATACGTGGATGATCTGATTAATATTCGGGTTTTCACGAAGCCGATTTGTACTGTCCGTCGTTGAAGGGTAACTGACACCAAATTTTTGCCCTTTTTTTATTTTTGCCCCGATACATTCCTCTTCAGGTCACGTGATGTGATACATCACACGTGTGTAAGGCAGTAAAAAGCGTCATGTTAAGACCTGAAAGTAACAACTTGGCCCTCGCTGTCCAGCTGCTGCCGAAATTTACGAGCGGAATAAAATAAGATTTGTTCCATTCTGATATAGGCCACCATTTTAGAGACTAAAGAAATACGAAGTGAGAAATAAAACAAAGGTTGAATCATCGAAACGCGACGGATCGCACGTCTGTATCCACAGGTAATTTGCACGCCGTTCCAAACAGCTGTAAAAAATACATTCCCATAATTTTTTTCTCTCAATCATTATGGAGTCCTATTTTCTGTGCTTACCAAATCATAACTACTTTAAGCGATGGTGAGCTTCCGTGACTAATATCTTCAAACTAAATGAACAAATCAGTAATCAATTGGGAGGGAAAGGAAAGCCAGCATTGATTTTGTTAGACTATCTCGCTGATGTTATCTTACAAACTCAGTGGATTCCATAACACTTAAATTTTTCCTTAGGTATGGTAGCCCTTCTCGTCGATATTCGATATCCCGTTAGTACCTGTATCTCCAAGCCTCAGCTGTTTAACTGGTAGATATGTCTTTTCAATGAGAAGACCACTATTTTCATGCCAGTTTCTTTCACCTGTTAAACAGTTACAAACTTTCTTTTTTCTTGCACAGGTGTTGTTCATTCCGCATGTGCCACTTCATAGGACTATCTGGATCAGGAGCTGCTCCGCCCCGATAGTTCATTTCTATTGACTCACGTGACACCCAGAAAGCATCATGCATTGTAGAATCGAGGCACTCGTACTTGATAAACTGCTCACGCTGTTGGGGAACGTTGATGAGACTCACTAGCTGAGAGATGTTCGCTCCTTTGTAGTGTATGTTGCGAGAGTAGGATTCCCCGGCTTCATATCCGTCTACCAATGTCCTGTTCTCGCTGTCGTGACTTATGACAGTCACGCCAACTTCGCCTTTGTCACTCATGTCACAGGTGACGTGTAAGGTAGCAATCCTCGTTCTCCATCAGGGACAATCGGACAGATTCCACTTTTTGTCCTTAAAGCCACTGCAAGACTTTGATAAATATGTGAAAAGAAGTGAAACAGAGTGAGAAGTCGGTAAAGTTGTATGAGAAATTTTTTTGTATGAGAAAGATATCGATTCAGCCATCTAAACTCTCAAAGTGCCTTCACTTTCGAGTGTAAGTGGGTATCATAAAAAATGCCACGGAAACATATCCCTGGATACACTTTATTGAAATTTACCGCAACAAATAATTATAGTCACGCTTACTTTTGGCTTAAAGGTCAACAAGTAAAAATACGTCATGTCATTACCATCAGCAGATTTTCGTTTTTTTTCAAAGTCCACAACGCACGATTTTCGTGGGTTATTGTCGTTCTTCCCACCTCATTGGTATACCATCGAGTTATAGATATTATCGTTGTAGAAAGTGTTGTTGTCCTACGTGCTTTTGTAGATAAATGAAACGTTGGATGATTTGTCTCACAGCATCAGGTTTTTTCATTGCATTGATTGATTGTTAGTCATCAAAACAAACAAATTTGTTACCTTTTTCACAATTTTCACCCGTTTAACCAACTCGACATAGGCAAATGTATCTCCTGTCTGTAAACCCATGCAGATAGTCAAGTTACACCATGAAGACGAGAGTAGCTGGAACATGAATTCTAAAGGAATAGAAGAGGTCTATTAACAGAGTTTCTAAGCAGTATTTACCCAAATAAAATCGAAGCGGTCAGGAGAATATTGTGCTAGAACTCTTATTTCGCACCGTAGTAGCCCAGTAGAGAGACTCCACTTTTGGTTTAAGATCATAAGGATGTTGGATATGGAATTCAGAATCACTCAGTTGGCACCGTCTGTGTCGGGTGGGCCAATGTTCACTGACACGTACACATGAACTTTCTAGAAGGCTCTCGTATCAACAGTCACCGTTGGCTCATTTCCCATGGTTAAATTTATTTCTTTAACATCGTGTTCTTGAAGAACGTATCCTCCTAATGTTTTCACCACCCAATTTGCAAACCTCAGATTTTGGCAAACAAACCATGCGACGAAACGAAATGCGTAAAACCCAAGCTAAAATTATAAAGACCCTAGGCTACTTGAGCGTTATGACTGCAATGTGCTCACGGTTTACCCAGTGAGCGCCAGCTGGTTTTATCACGCAAATTTGAGAAAGAAATTTGATATTTCATCCAATTCTTATCAGTCCTTATTTACGTCGCTGCTTTCAGTCTCAGCCATCTTAGTGCTGCTTTTCCCATTTTTTACTTGGTACTGTTAGTGAGTACCTTTGATCAACCATGTTAAGTGTGTCTTATTTACAAACGAAACAGGTTTTCTCTAACGAGCAGATTCATACTAACTTGGTAAAAGATCACCTATCATGGCTTATGTGCGAAACTACTACAAAAAAATAGTCATCTATATTTTTGTAGCTGAAGTTGATCAAAAAAGAGAGCAATTATCGAAGAGTATTCATCACAGACTTTCGAGCACTTTAAGTCTTTAAGAGTAACCCATCAAGACAAGGCAAAAACTGCTTGTCGACATTCTTGTGAGAGGCATGTACATCTTCCTTTCATGCCTGACTCATTTTCAATTGAACTGGTTTTTTGGTTTTACTTTGAGAGCCGAGTGAGGTCGCCCACACTTTTTCATTTCACCCTTCAAAATGACGGTGCGTCTCGAGTTAGGAGTATAGGTCTTATTCTTAGCCAAAATACCTTGCCATTGTACTAAAGCTTTGTATATGGGTAGTCAGCGATATAAATGAAATTCGTTTCCGCCTCGCACAGAGAGGATTCGTTGACATTAGTCAACAACACAATTTTGGCAGCATGTAGATATCCTTTCCTGTTTTGAGAAATCACTCGTATATAGCTCGTTAGCCTGTTGTTAAGTTTGGTCTCTAATGTACTTTTAAAAGCATGCAAAGAACGTCTAATATCATGAGGGGAAAGATTTGCTTTTCTATGACGGAGTGATGACCATTATCCCGCGCTTATTTGCTCACCAGTAATTATTACATAAAACGGACCCTCGAAACCAAGCTGAGCTCGGGATTAAAATTTTCCACAAAAACAGACTGATGTTGGACCTCATTGATTGAAGACATATATTTGGTGCGTATACACAAATAGACATACACGTACAGTGTGGTGTCGTGAAATGCATCCTTACGAAATTCGCAAAACCGTCGTAATTTAGGGATCAACTGAATTAAAGAATTTGTATAGGTAATGGCATGATTTTCAGTGCAATCTGGGATAAATCAGCACGCATAAATTTTTTAACCGAATTAACCTGTAGGGCGAGTGAAATTTGTAGTCTATTAAAAATATGATAATCATGTTATTACTAGAAATAATATACACGCAAAAATGTCGGGCTTTTTCGTCAAGAATTCGTTTCAAACTTCTACAACCTCTTCGAGAATAATTGAACGTTTGTATTCTTTCTCTGTTAGGTATCATTCGACAGTAGTAACCATTTCATGAAAGCCATCAAGCTTGTAGTCTTCCCCGTCTTTTGTAAGAACAGTTGCGTAAAATTCCTCGAGAATTTTTATCCAGGGCCTCCGATTCATACTTTCATATCCGTTTTTGGAAGCCAGACTTTGTTTTTCCTTTTTCCGTGTTTTTCCTATTTCTCTCTCTTCCCCAAATTGTTTCATAATGAGAGGGTCAATACTCAGCCTGATAAATTATCAGTGTCTAATGTCAACTACATATACCGATACGTCTTTTCTACCATGTAACAATAATCACAAACTCACATGAACCAGTAAAATAATGATCGTCAACAGTCGCATTTCTGTCACACTTAAATGAGTTAAATTCAATTGAAAATTCAACGGACATTGGACAAGGACATATTTATTTTTGTGAGTTCTCTGCTAAAAAAAAGAAAATTCAGTGTTCGAAATTCCCAGGTTTACTTTTCGCTCGTATATTTTCCATTTAGCGAATCTTGCAAAGGGTTAAGAAGTGTATTTGGATCTGACCTGATTTCGATTGTTGGGGTTTGTGAATAAATTGTGGATTTGCGACCAAAGAGTACCATAACGGCGGACAAAAATACGAAAGGGCTCTTTATTTTGCAAAACATTCTTCGCAGGTACAAGACGAGTACAGCTAAAAATGCAGCAATATGTGCAGCAATATGGGAAGGAAAGAAGAATTATACTTAGTTGTATGAAACAAAAAAGAAAAAACTGAAGTTTAGGGAAAGAATCCTTTCTCTTCAAGTTCACTTAAAATACACATTAAAATGCTGCTAATGCTCAGGGCTACTATGAATCACGATTAGACTGCATACACTTGCCCATACGTCTCGGAAGTTTTCTGCAAGATGACAGGCTTTTTATCTCATAAACGTTTGACGCTAGGTAAATAATTTGGATAGGAGGATGATCATATTAATATAATTTAGGTTTTCATGAAGCCGATTTGTAATGTCAATCAATTTAAAAATAGTTCCAACAAAAATTTGTCAAAGCTTTAAGTGATTTAGTGTTGTTTAGGCTTCCAGACTTGACTTTACTATTCTAGTGATTCACGCGAAGGAATCATTTCATTTTGAAGTTGATGTGTATTAATACACATCAAAAAGTCACGCGCGTCTGATTGGCCGAAAATTAGTGTATTTTTTCATGTAACACGAGTGCAAAGTTAAAGCACGAATGCAAATTTCAAATGCAAAGTTTTGTCCGTTTTGACTTTCTGTTATGCGTTTTCATGTAAATTATTAATCAGTAACAAAATGATTTCTCGTGAAATTTGGTTTAAATAAGCACTTATACATTTTTCGGACTACAAACTGCACTCGACCTAGGGGCTCGTGCAATTTTGTCGTCTTTGAAAAATTTACTCGTGCTTATCAACAACAAATTTCGCTCGAAATCATGTTGTTACCTGTGCATGATGCATTTGAAACTTCAAACCACACCGGCCTGTCATTCAGCTGGTTATCATGTATAATCTTTTCTGTTAGGCATCCGATCCATCCATTATTGCCTAAATTACGCTGAAGTTGACCAATCAAAATTCGGATTGCGTGGGGTACATCTTTAAAGACATCGGGAAAGACAGTAAACAGACTTATTCTGTAATGACATTTTTCGCGATGGGACTTAAAAACACTTCCCTCTTTGTCTTCTTTCGAGGAGTTATATTACTCTGCACAGTTTTCCACGCAGGAGTAGAATCGTCTGCCCTTTCTCGATCAACATATTTCACAACGTTGACAAATAAGCAGCTTAAAGGTTTTGTCGTGAAACGGTTTAAGTCTCCCAGTCAAATTTGGTGTGGTCAGTCATGTTTGAAAAACGCCTGGTGTACTTCAACAAACTTCAAACCTGCTCCTCAAACTTCCAAGTCTGATGGCAAAGGAACTTGTGAACTAAACAAGCACGACGTTATCAAAGAAAACGCACATTTACAGTTCGAGGCGGGAGCCATTTTCTCAGCACTTATTAAGGTAGATAATTGCAGGATTTGGATCGTTTTCAATGTATTCGCGATACCAAGTTTAATCAATTCGTTTATTTTTAAGTCTTGTAATTTCACAGTTTAACCCTTTCCTCTATTCGGGAAAAATCCCCTTAATTAGGCTGAGGTCTTCAGTGCAATCTTTTTTTTCGGAGAGCTCCAGAATTTAATAAAATTATAATTCAATTAACTAAAATTCAAAGATGATTGAAAACTGAATTTCTACGCGGAGTTGTGGTACCAGACACAACCTGTATAACGACCAAAGAGAACTAGAAAGAATAATCGTTGTTATTTCTATACCCATAATTTTCAACCCTTTGTTTTAGTTGTCCGTTAACCCCCTTTTCTGTGAAAAGATCCACCCACTCTCATGCAGTTCGTGAGCCGTAAAAACAAGCTGGTGGCACCAAACAAATATTTTGTTTCCCCGCCGACGTTTGAGAACTATCGTGATAGCATTCATCGATTACCAGTTTAGCATGAAAGTTAGAAGTTCTTTTTCACGAAAACGGAAAAAATGATTTTCTTTTAACTAACTAAAGACAATAATAAAAAAGAGAGATAAAGGAAAAATATTTCATGGGGCGTTTGGTGATCAACTGCAAATGTTATGCACCTTAAAGAAAACCATTAACTAATTATGCAAATTTTTGTAAAGAACATAAAACTCGAACTGATGCTTGCCAGCAGAAGCAAGTTTTGGAAATGGCACATACGCTTTCTTTTATTCCCTTTTAAATGAAATCCTTTTCCAGCAAATATAGGAATTTAGAAACATCATTGTTTGATCGAGATATTTGAAATTATATGCCGTCCCCAGCCATTATGGCGATGGGTTCATGTTTGTTTCTCATTTGCATCACAAAAAAAAAAGTGCAGTGACTCCACCATTAGTAAAAGCTTGAGGTTGTTGCGAATCTCATATTACTGTCTTTGAATATGTAATAGTTTTGAACTAAAGTTTATAGAAGCTAGACCATTAATAAAATAACATGCCTTGGCTTCGTTTGAATTCTGCCAATACATGTACTTGTAGATGTTGACTAAATGCATAGTTAAAAACAAAATTTTTAGGCAGCCAGTTTACCCCAATGATTTTGTCTGAACATTACGACTTTGTAAATCATGTTTTAGAAGTTTGTTGAAGAATTGGTGAGGACAGATAAATTGTTTAGTTAAATTTGGCGATGGGTAGGCTTGATACCTACCCGGTTGTTGGAGCTGGATCTAGGAGATAACAAAAACACTGTACTTGAGAGCGTGACTATTTTCCAGCGAATTATTTTTATCCATCAGTAGGAAAGTGAAATAATTTTGCAGCATATTTATGTTTATTTATATTCTTCTCATTATTCCATCGGCTACTCTTTCTCTTTAGGATTGCCGACTAGCAGCCAGCACCTGTTTAAATGGTGGTGTGTGTTTTTATGACAAGAAAAAGCAAACTTATTCATGTGAATGCAAGCCCCCTTGGACCGGAGAAACTTGTGCTGATCTGTGTAAGAAACTACTTTGTAAAGTAGAATGAAGTTGTAATGTATTGCCTGTCGAGAAAAGCTTCAGAGCAGTTTTCCTGTTGCATTTATGCGACAACTGAAAAAATTTAGCGTGACAGTTTTCTGCAAACGAGCAAACAAACTTCATTCGAACGCTATTTTGCTCAGATCTTTTCCTTCAAAATTTTGCATTGTCTTGCTTTTGTAACGCACATGCTTTAAGAGATTTACTTCGATTCAAAAGCGTTATTAGCTAGACCAACTTAATCATATATGGTTTGAAGATCGGTTGGTCAGTCGCCATATGATGTAGCTCCTTTTTACTGATAACAACTCTTTTGAAATGTTGTCTTGTAATCGCAAAAAGTTGACTGTGACAGCCATCCCTGCAAAAACAATGGAACTTGTACAGTCGGAGTCAATGAATATAACTGCAGCTGTGCACCAGGATTTTACGGGACACAGTGTGAAAAGATTGAAGGCCTGTCTTGTTCATCAGGTTTGTAGAGAGGTGTAAAGAGAAGTTCTCGTGGAGATGGGGATGACCTTTCAACATTTTACAAAGTTTTGGATGGGACATTAATTAAGATTCTTAAAGACAAACCACGCCAATGTTTTATTTTGATTACGGTTTCTCATAAAAACTTTCCACAATTGATAATCGTCAGCGTCAGGACGCTGTAAACCCATTCGATCAATATCAGTATCTGAGAAGCTGCGCTCCTACCCCTCCCCTAACCCAACAATCGTCAATTGATAACAAGTTAAGGTTAATGTTGGGTTAGGCGAGGGGTTGGTGCGCAGTCGCTCACATACTTATATTAATAAGTATGCGATAGATTGGATAACCAATCTATCGCTTTTTATCCCTTTACATCCTAACATCAGTAGGCTTATTCTCCATACTGTTCATTATACATTTCCAAAGGTGCTGACGAGGAGAGTTTATTTAGCGATCAAAAGCGTCTTTTTTTGGTGATCATTTCCTTTATTCTCATGACCTTAATGTTTGATTCAGCGCTGACATTGTAGGGAGAAATTATATGCTAGTCACTCTTAGGGGTTAAAGGGTAAAAGAAGTAGAAAGTAACTGTTGGATTTTAAATAGTGTGAAAAGTTTATACCTCGGGTTTTTTTTTGCTTAAGCGGTCAGAATAATTTCAAACGAGCTGACCTGTTTAGGTAAACACCACAAGCTACCTTTGACATCTCAGAGCGCTCAAGGTACTTTTGTATCTTTCTCTCTGGCGTGCGTGGTAGCCGTGCGGAAGCCAAAGCAAGATTTTTCAAAAAACAAAGACAATCTTTACTCTGGGTATCTGTTTATCGGTTACGTACGTGATCTGGTAGCGGACATGAGATAAAAAGTAATTACTGAAACAAGATTAATCCGGAAATTTCGCAGTAAGATTCATCCAATTTAAGAGTTGCTTTGCCATTTCAAGGAAACTGGAGTAAAGAAGATTGTGTTTTGTTGTTTCCTACAGCTTACCGAATGGTCTTTGGACAACCTAGCACAAAGAATTACGCCAGCATAACAAACGCCACCTCGTCTAGTGTCTCGGAATTTACTATGTGCCTTTTTGTCAGAATGAAGGATACCAATTTCAGTAGTGGCCAGTGCCTCTACAGTTATGCGACTACTGGAGCACCTTTTGGGAATGCCTTCTACGTTTGCCTGTTTTCCCCAGGAATTAGGATTTCTATACACGCCTCGGGAGATGAGTAAGTGATATGACAAACACGATAAATAAAGTCTGTACTCGAGTCAAATGGCCCATCCAGCCCGACCGTATCCCGGTTTTCTTAAAATAAAGCGTCTCGTAGGAGTTTTAATACTTCCCCCTGGATGGGATGCTTATCTATTGCAATTTCAGCATTTCATTCGGTTTCCCTTACAGTGTGCCGTAATACTCCTGGGTGGAGTGAAGCACTTTGAGAATAAAGTCTGTCGCCCAAGAACACAACACAACACAATAACCCAATAGAATAAGATAGAAGAGAACTAAAAATATACCGGAATGAATGGCGAATTACGCGCGAGAAAGGGACGCGAAGATGAATTTTTTTGAGCTCCTTCCTTCGCGCGTGAATCACGCTTACCTTGGCTCACCTCAAAAAAAATAATTTGCCTGTTCCCGCAATGGGCTAAAGTGCTCCCAGCGGAGTATTATCGAGGCTTCTGATGGTATTTGGCATTAACAACACTTGAGAACAAAAACAAGAGAACATGGTTGTTAACAACCACGTTCTCTTGTTTTTGTTCCCAAGCGACTTAAAATAAATAATTAAACGAGCCTTGTGATTTAATCATTGTTAATGACAAAATTAAGTGCTATGGCGTGTCGAAAATCGAATACATGGAGTTTGAGAATTTCCGTGAGCAAGAAAAAATGCACAGTGAATTCCCGCAAAAACGGAGCCTTCTCTTTTCGAATAAAATAAATGGTAATGGAATTTAAAAAAGTTAAGTGACATTAAAATATCCTGATATATCTCCCATTCCAGCAGCTCACATATAGGAATATATATATATATATATATACATGAAACTCATGTACATACGGCCTGCCAGCAGTTACCTGTAGCTCGTTGGAGGAGGAGTCAACTAGTGTATCAAATATAGGTGAACAACCAATCTTGATGTCACATTGAACTGGACCGCAATCAGTCAAAAACCGAGAGTTTCTAACAGTCTTAATTGTTTATGTTCATTTTGTAAGTGATACAGACGCCAGAGTCAAAATTAATGATACCATGTGGCATCACATTTGTGTTACCTGGAATAACACCAAAGGCGACTGGCAGTTTTATCTGGATGGACAACTTCAAAGCTCTGGAACTGACTTGAAGAAAAATCATCAGATACCAGCCGGCGGAACAGTTGTCATTGGACAAGACCAAGATAAAGTCGGAGGGGACTTTGATATCGAAGATAGCTTTGGGCCGGGTGAGGTAACAGAAGTCAATCTTTGGAGTAGGGTCCTTTCTGGGGATGAAATTGCAGCTCAGAAGGCAAATTGTGACATCGCACAAGCAGGCCTCGTTCTCTCGTGGGGACAGTTCAAAGGAAAAGTTACTGGTGTGAAAATAGTCGAGCCTTAAAAGTGATAGGATTTTTAACACCACCATCTGGTTTACGACAAACTCTTTATCACAGAAAGAGATCCTTCCTCGAGCAAGGAACACCTAAACACTGATCAATATCTACATACATGTTAAATAGCTTTTACCACTCGTATTGTGGAGTCCAACAATTGTTATTACACAGATGATTGCCCTTTTACCCAGTTCAGTAGAGTATATCATAGATTGCGCCCTTCTATTTATGATTTGATAACCATAAGGTTGCTCTGTAGTCGCTCGCTACTGTTGATAAAACGCCAAAGTTCAGGACTGAGGTAGCGAGTATAATTCAATTATTAGTCACGAAGCATTTAAGCAATTTTGCACGAATATCATGATCTTAATCACCAAAACAGGATCTCTGAACCATATGACACAATTTGTATCCCTTTCTTATTTATTTCTTTGCACGAGGCAATCGAAGGCGGCGAAAAAAGGGAGAAGGTAAAAAACATTGTTTCCTTGGGTGAAATCTTGGAAAGTCGCATGCCCCCCTCTAGAGTTATATTGCACCGGAGTATTTTCCCTTAACTTAACCTTTAAAGAAAAGCTCAAAACCCAGCCTTAAATTTTGTTAATGATTTCCATCCATTGTGTCTAAGTCACAAAACCTTCCTACATACCTTTGTCTTGTAAATTTTGTTCCCTCGGTTTTAAATATTTGTCATTGTGGATTTCTTTTCAATTGTAATCGTAATTGATTATGGTTTTAAGTAACCGTAAGTGCAACCGTAATAATATTTGAGATACTATTAACGGGTTGGAACTGGTGACGACATTTGGCTGAAACTCGATTTGTTCATAATAAAGGTAGTTGTAATGTTTTGTCGTAAAGGAGGTCAATTGATGAAGTTTGAAGAAGAACCAACTTTTATGTTTAATTTATTTTTTTATTTCATTCGTTCATTTATATTCTACATACTATTTACTATCTACAATATTTTTAGTAAGATTTGCGACATCAATCACAATACCAATGTTACATAGATAGTACAAATACGTATTTCAATCGAGTGTCGCAAAACCAAAACCAGATTAATCCCCTTAGTTTATCAAGAAGAAAGTGGGGTATCTTATTGTATGTTTCTCTTACATTGGAAATTTTTTCGTTGTGGCGTACTTATAACATTGTTACACGCGGGATACTGTCAATGACGCTATTCACGATCAGATTGCGTACTTACTCAACATATAGTAGAGTCACCACTGTAGATAACATTGCATCATTCTTCTTAAATCATGGATGCTTACTACATTTATTTAAGTTACAAGGTAATTTTAACTTGAGGGTCTCCATGAGGCGATGATTCTTACGGCTAACGGTTAAAAGTTTGGCCATTTTACGTCAAACACTTTATTTCCTACTGTTTCAATTAAAAGATGAAATTTTTGGTTAACTTATTTTTACGATCAAATGGTTAAATTTATCACTTTTTACCCCTAACAATTACTTTTTTTTCAACGTTTTACGGCTAATTAAGATCTCCTACCTTTGGAAAGCAATTTTTGACATTATTTACGCCAAAATTATGAGGGAGCTGTGTATTCAACAAAAAATATTCAATTATCCAATACGTTACTATTTTACCGCAAGAAGCGGGACGTGAATTTATCTGTCTAGTTTCCGTCTAGAAGATGGCATATTGTCAGAAATTCTGCCTTTTTGGTTTGCTTGTCACGAAGTGTGTGGCGTATTCCTTAAAACTACCAATTTCAGTGTCGGTCAAAGTGGTGCATTTGTCATGGGAGGTGTGGCCTATGGAATACGAGCTCACTTTAAGCAAGCCCTTTCTCTAATTTTGATCTTAGCAAACATTTTTGCGCTTTTTATCTCATAAACGTTTGACGTTAAGTAGATAATTTGGATAAGTGGATGATCATATTAATATTCAGGTTTTCATGAAGCCGAGATAATAGAATCCCTCATCTTCTGGGGAACGTATCCCTCTTCCCAGCATTTGCAGAGTAGCTGGTGGAGATTGTCGAGCAGTTGGTTTACACTGCATTTGAAGACTTCAGCCGGGATACCATCAAGCCCAGGGGCCTTTCCAGACGATATGTGACTGATTGCCTTTGAGAGATCTTCCTTGGTGGGGGGCTCATCTAGTTCAAACATGATGGGAAGCCTTTCAATGCAGTCAAGGACAGAGGGTAAGACAGAGCTCGATCTACTATAGAGCTCGCTATACTATTCCACCCAGCACTCCATCAGTCTTGATTTATCAGTAATGATTTCACCAATTGATGTTTTGAGTGGTGAGGACTTGGACTGTGTAGGTCCAATCGCCTTCTTGATACCCTCAAACATGCCCCTAGAATTTCCAGTGTCAGCAGCTGACTGGATTTCAGCACAGAGATTCATCCAAAAGTTGTTAGCACAGATCTTACATTTCACATTCGCACGACGCCTGGCCTCCCGAAGTGCTTCAAAAGAGCTAGATGATGGATTACGCTGGTAGTTCTGCAGGGCATTCCTCTTTGCTTCGATGAGCGGCTGAAGAGTCGCGATGTTTGCATTGAACCAATCCTGGCTTTTGCGCACATTCTTGCCAAAGGCCTTTAATGCTGCAGCAAGGGTGGTGTCCTTGATATGGCTCCAGTGGTCCTCTGTGTTAAGCTCCAGGCAGTCTCCGAGTTTCGAGCTCAGGATGTCGTTGAAAATAGAGACATTTTCAGGGATGGCGGTGGCAGGAGCATTAATGCGAAGTGTAGCAGATTGTTTGACGCGATGGAACTTCTTTGGACGTAACTGGATCTTCGTGCAGACAAGGGAGTGATTAGAGTCACAATCAGCACTGTGGTATGCCCTTGTAGTACGAATGTTATTAAGGTGTTCCCGTCTTGAGATGATGAGGTCGAGTTGGTGCCAGTTTTTAGATCTGGGGTGCATCCACGAGAACCTATGGTGCAGCTTCACGCCAAAGAATGTGTTTGTAATACAGAGGTGATGATAGGTGCAAAGCTCCAGAAGGCGTTGACCATTGCATTTGCCAACACCAAAGTGACCAAGGCAATCAGGCCAGGAGCCTTGATCGTTGCCCACTCTAGCGTTGAAATCGCCGAGGGAATCAGCACTTCGTTGTTTGGGATATGTTTGATAGCATCGGTACTCGAAGTCAGGGTTGGAGCGTAGACAGAAAACAAGTTGGTGAGACCTAGATCGGTATTGAGTTTTATGTGCATGATGCGCTCAGACTTGGTTGAGCCTGGTTCCACCATCTGTACTAGCTTGTTGCTAACAGCAAAACCAACTCCACGTACTCTGGGCTCATCTTCATCTCTACCCTGCCAGAAAAATGTGTATTCCTTTTCCGTTAGGCTTCCGCAACCAGCTATGCGCGTTTCCTGTAAAGCAGCGATATCAACTTTGAGCCTAACCAATTCTCTGCTGATGACAGCTGTTTTGCGTGCCCCATCAATGTCGCGTATGTCCTTGCTAAGTCCGGTCAGCATCGTTCGGACGTTCCAACTCCCAAGTGTAAGAGCTGGTCTTCTTCTAATAGATCCTTGATTCTTAGGTGAATAAGTCGCAGCCCACTTATCAGACTGTTTCTAGACTTAAGTCCTGCTCACCCCAGCAAGACAGGCGGGCAGTGGCGGGAAAGCACCTTATTGACTGGGGGCTGCCCAGTTTAAGCGGGCAGTAGCTATCCAATGGGGCTAAAAAGCCCCTCCCACTGTCAGGAATGGCCCCTGGCGTCTGGCTCTATGCCAATCAAGCCATGACTTAGAACCGGTAACTGCCACTCCCCGATTTGTTTCCATGCCTGGCGAAGCCGTAGGGCATGCTGAAGTTGCCTCTCCATGCCTGGGCGGTTGATATGGAGATACTGGTTTGCCCAAGTCCCAGAATCCCCTTCTCGGTCTTGTTGGTAGAGTCCGAAGGAAAGGCAGGGCCAGTACGTTCGGGACCAGGTCGACTGCAGGAGTTGCCAGTAAATGATATAGCGTCAAAACTGCCTTACGGGGCTCCACTCCGGTTTTTCTGTCGGACTGTCTGTCAATACAGCAGCTGAAAAAATGCTCGAACAACGAAAACACTGTAGAAAACACTGCTTTTTGGTTGTTGGTTTGGGAAAAGTGATGTTTAGAGTTGGAATTGCCAGGGAAATCAAAATTACGAGCCGACCCAGCTTAATACTTTGCTCGAGCAATTCTACGCCGATTCCATTCCATCGAAAGTGATACAGACTGAACAATTCCTTGAACCGTTTATCCGGACTTTGAACCTTTTTTGCGCCTTAAAGGTGTGAATATTATTGTATATTACTGTTTTGATCGTACGCGGTTGTTTTTACCGAATGCACAGGTTTGAATAAATTATTTTTTCATTTGATAGGCACGCTCTGCTTCTGCATAATTATGTTAAGCTATCTCGTACTTTTTTCATGTATGTTATTAATACGTAATCACATGATTTTTCTCGTGCAATTTGGAATAGATAAGCACTCGTTATTTTTTCAAAGACCACAAACTGCACACACCCTACGGGCTCGTGCAATTTTATTAGTCTTTGAAAAAATTTACTCGTGCTTATTTATTCCAAATTGCACTCGAAATCATGTGATTACCTATACTAATACGAGTGCAAAGTTGTAGCACGAGTGCAAATTACAAATAGCATGCACGCGCTGCAAAGTTTTGTCCGTTTTGACTTTCTGTGATGAGTTTTCATGTTAATTATTAACAAGCAACAAAATGATTTCTCGTGCACTTCGGTGTAAATAAGCACTTATAAATTTTCCAGACTACAAATCGCACTCGACCAAGGGGCTCATGCAATTTTGTCGACTTTGAAAATTTACTCGTGCTTATCAACACAAAATTTTGCTCGAAATCATGTTATTACCTGTGCATAATGCATTTGAAACTTCAAACCACACTGTCATTCAGCTGGTTATCATGTATACTCCTTTCTGTTAGGCATCCGAGTATTATTGCCTAAATTACGCTGAAGTTGGCCAATCAAAATTCGGATTTCGTGCGGTACATCCCTAAGGACATCGGGAAAGACAGTAAACACTCATTATGTGATGACATTTTTCGCGATGGGACTTGAAAACACTCTCCTCTTTGTCTTCTTTCGAGGAGTTATATTACTCTGCGCGGTTTTCCACGCAGGAGTAGAATCGTCTGCTCTTTCTCGATCAGCGTATTTCACAACGTTGACAAATAAGCAGCTTAAAGGTTTCGTTGTTAAACGGTTTGAGTCCCCTAGTTTAGTTTGGTGTAGTCAGTCTTGTTTGAAAAACGCCTGGTGTACTTCAACAAACTTCAAACCTGCTCCTCAAACTTCCAAGTCTGATGGCAAAGGAACTTGTGAACTAAACAAGCACGACGTTATCAAAGAAAATGCACATTTACAGTTCGAGGCGGGAGCCATTTTCTCAACACTTATCAAGGTAAATAATTGCAGGGTTTGGATCATTTTCAACGTATTCAGCAATTCCAAGTTGAATCATCAAATTCGTATATTTTAAGTCTTGTAATCAAGCAAGTTTTCATTTCCACAGTTTTACTCCTTCCTTACTTCAGGAAAAATCCCCTTAATTAGGCTAAGGTCTTTAGTGCTATCCTTCTTTTTCGGAGAGCTCCAGAATTTAATAAAATTATAGACATGCAACCTGTATAACGACCAAAGAGCACTAGAAAGAATAACCGTTGTTTTTTGTATACCCATAATTTTCAACCCTTATTTTTAGTTATCCGTTAGCCCTCTTTTCTGTGAAAAGATCCATCCCCCATCATGCAGTTCGTGAGCCATAGAAACAAAACCTGGAGGCAACAAACAAACTTTTGTTACGCCGCCGACTTTTGAGACCTTTCATGATAGCATTCATCGATAACCAGTTTAGCATGAGGGTTAGAAGTTTTTTTTTCACGAAAACGGAAAAAGATGCTTCTCCTCTAACTAAACAAGGACAATTATAAAAAAAGAGAGACAAAAAAATATATTTCATTGGGCGTTTAGTAATTGGTAAAATCACCAATTGCTATGCAAATGTATGCACCTTAAAGAAAACTATTAACTAATTGTGCAAATTTTTGTAAATAACATAAAACTAGAACTGATGCTTGCCAACAGAAGCAAGTTTTGGAAATGGTGCATACGCTTTCTTTTATTCCCTTTTATATGAACTCGTTTTTCAGCAAATGTAGGAATTTAGAAACATCATTGTTTGATCGAGATATTTGAAATTATATGCCGACCGCAGCCGTTAATGGCTGCCGGCTTTTTTTTTTCATTTGCATTACAAAAAAGTGCAGTAATTCCACCGTAAGTAAGCTTGAGGTTGTTGCGAATCGCATATTACTGTCTTTGAATATGTAATAGTTTTGAACTAAAGTTTATAGAAGCTAGACCATTAATAAAATAACACCTTGAATTCGTTTGAAATTCTGCCAATACATGTACTTGTAGATGTTGACTAAATGCATAGTTAAAAACAAAATCTTTAGGCAGCCAGTGTTTTTTTGATACAAAGAAGAAGTGATTTAGAAAAACATTTGACTAAATGATTGCGATAAAACATTTCTGAAAAACATTTTAAGATTGCTAAAAAACGACGACGTTTCGACATTGGCTAAACAGTAATTAAACAAAAAGTTTGGCACGTATGGATTCCGTCTGGATATTTAAATTAGGCTTGAGATTCTTGATGAACAGTATTTCAAAGACTAAACAATCAAATTTCCCTAGCACTTTGAAATGCTAATAATAATAGTTAAGTGTTTTTTTCGTTGTTAGTGTCAATAAACGTTTACCCCAGTGATTTTGCCTAAGCATTACCACTTTGTAAATCATGTTCTGGAAGTTTGTTGAACAATTGCTGAGGACAGATAAATTGTTTAGTTCAATTTGGCGATAGGGTTGGCTTGATACCTACCCGGTTGTTGGAGCTGGATGTAGGAGATAGAAAAAACGCCGTAGGTGAGAGCGTGACTATTTTCCAGCGAATTGTTGTTATCCATCAGTAGGAAAGTGAAATAATTTTGCAGCATATTTATGTTTATTTATATTCTTCTCATTATTCCATCGGCTACTCTTTCTATTTAGGATTGCCGACTGGCAGCCAGTACCTGTTTAAATGGTGGTGTGTGTTTTTATGACAAGAAAAAGCAAACTTATTCATGCGAATGCAAGCCCCCTTGGACCGGAGAAACTTGTGCTGATCTGTGTAAGAAACAACTTCGTAAAGTAGAATGAAGCTGTAATGTGTACCTGTCGAGAAAAGCTTGAGAGCAGTTTTCCTGTTGAATTTATGTGTGACAAAAAAGTTTAGCGAGACAGCTTCTGCAAACCAGCAAACAAACCTCGTTCGAACGCTATTTTGATCAGATATTTTCCTTAAAAATTTTAATTTTGCATTGTCTTGCTTTTGTGACGCACATGCTTTAAGAGATTTACTTCGATTCAAAAGCGTTATTAGCTAGACCAACTTAATTATATATGGTTTGAAGATCGTTAGTTCAGTCGCTCTATGATGTAACTTCTTTTTATTGACAACAACTCTTTTGAAATGTTGTCTTGTACTCCCAAAAAGTTACCTGTGACAGCCATCCCTGCAAAAACAATGGAACTTGTACAGACGGAGTCAATGAATATAACTGCAGCTGTGCACCAGGATTTTACGGGACACAGTGTGAAAAGATTGAAGGCCTGTCTTGTTCATCAGGTTTGTAGAGACGTGCATCGTATTTTGATGACATATTCTGAGAGCGCAAGCTTCCTTCTCCAATTTAAGAGGACTCTCGTGGAGGCGCGGTGGCTCATTGTGTTCCGTGTTCTTCGAGTGTTGTGTTCAAAGACACTTTACTCTCACAGTGCTTCTCTTTACCCAGGTGTACAAATGGTACCAGCAAATGTGCTGGGGGTAACCCTGTGATGGACTAGCATCCCATACGGGGGGAGTAGCAATACTCCTAGCCGCTTCATGTTAAGGAAACCTGAGTTAAGCACCGGCCCCACGGGCCATTTGGGCCTGTATAAAGGCTTTACTTTTTTTTACTTTTTCGTGGAGATGGGGATGACCATTCAACATTTTAGAGAGTTTTAGATGAGACATTAATTAAGGTTCTTGAAGACAGACCACGCCAATGTTTTATTTTGATAACGGTTTCCCATAAAAACTTTCCGCAACTAATAATCGTCAGCGACAGGACGCTGTAAACTTATTGGATCAATGTCAGTATCTGAGTAATTGCGCTCCTACCCCTCCCCTGACCCAACAATCGTCAATTGATAACAACTTAAGGTTAATGTTGGGTCAGGGGAGGGGTAACTGCGCAGTTGCTAACATGCTTATATTAATCCAATCTATCGCTTTTTAACTCTTTACATCATAACATAACATCAGTATCCATATTCTCCATACTGCTCTTTATACATTTCCTAAGGTGCTGACGAGGAGAATTTGTTAACTGATCAAAAGCCTCTTTGATTGGTGATCATTTCCTTTATTCTCCTGACCTTAATGTTTGATTCAGCGCTGACATTGTAGGGAGAAATTATATGCTAGTCACTCTTAGGGGTTAAAGGGCAAAAGAAGTAGAAAGTAACTGTTGGATTTTAAATAGTAGTGAAAAGTTTATACCTTTTTATAGGTTTTTTTTTTTCGCTCAAGCGGTTAGAATAATTTCAAACCAGCTCAGACACCTATTTAGGAGAACACGACAAGCTAGCTTTGACATCTCAGAGCGCTCAAGGTACTTTTTTTTGGATCTTTCTCTCTGGTGTGCGTGGTAGCCATGTGGAAGCCAAAGCAAGATTTTTCAAAAAACAAAGACAATCTTTACTCTGGGGATCTGTTGCAATAACCGTTAGGATTACTTTTGTATGTCCCCTCCTGGCTGAATAATCCTCTCATTCGGAATTCTCTGGCCTATTTATTTCTTAAAGAGTTGTTTTTTTACACAGAACCCTTTGCACTTAGTGTTTATCAGTTACGTACGTGATCCGGTAGCGGACATGAGATATAAAATAATTTCTGAAACAAGACTAATCCGGAAATTTCGCAGTGAGATTCATCCAATTTAAGAGTCGCTTTGTCATTTCAGTGAAACTGGAGTAAAGAAGATTGTGTTTTGTTGTTTCCTACAGCTTACCGAATGGTCTTTGGACAGCCTAGCATAAAGAGTTACGCCAGCATAACAAACGCCACCTCGTCTAGTCTCTCGGAATTTACTATGTGCCTTTTTGTCAAAATGAAGGATACAAATTTGATTGGTAGCCAGTGCCTCTACAGTTATGCGACTATTGGAGCACGTTATGGGAATGCCTTCTACGTTTGTCTGTTTTTCCCAGGAATTAGGATCTCTATAGACGCCTCGGAAAATGAGTAAGTGATGTGACAAACACGATAGAAATAGTATGTACTCGAGTCAAATGGCCCATCCAACCAAACCGTATACCGATTTTTTTTTAAATAAAGCGACCAGTAGGAGTATTAATACTTCCCCTTGGATGGGATGTTTATCTGTTGCAATTTCAGCATTTCATTCGGTTTCCCCGACAGTGTGCCGTAATACTCCTGGGTGGAGTGAAGCACTGTAAGAATAAAGTCTGTCGCCCAAGAACACAACACAATAACGCACTAGAACAAGATAGAGGAGAATTAAAAATATACTGGAATGAACGGCGAATTACGCGCGAGATAGGGAAGTGAAGATGAATTCTTTGAGCTCCTTCCTTCACGCGAGATTCACACTTACTTTGGCTCACGTTAAAAAAATAATATGCCTGTTCCCGCAATGGGCTGAAGTGCTCCCAGCGGAGTATTAGCGAGGCTTCTGATGGTTTTGGCGTGGTTAGCAACAAAGTTAACTTGTTTTTGTTCCCAAGCGACTTAAAAATAAATAATTAAACGAGTCTAGTGGTTAAATCATTGTTAATGACAAAATTAAGTGCTATGGCGTGTTGAAAGTTGAGTGTATGGAGTTTGAGGATTTCCGTGAGCAAGAAAAATTGCACAGTGAATTCCCGCAAAAACGGAGTCTTTCTCTTTTCGAATAAAATAAATAAATGATACTCGTAATATATCTCCCATTCCAGCAGCTCACACGACGTTGTAAACATGCATATAGTGCTACATATAGAATTGGAATGCATGTTTACAACGTCGTGTGAGCTGCTGGAATGGGAGATATATCAAGAGTGTCATTTATTTATTTTATGTCCAAATTGAGCACTCTATTTAGGAGGAGTCATGTCTCGCCATTGTGCATTCTCACAAGTCCTCTGACATGGGTTGGATGATACCACAATTGTGGTATCATTCGGGGTAGCTAAATGCTTACACCTCCTTCCTAACATTAGCATTGCACTGATGAGGCCCAGAAAGTCGAAACAGTTCAAATAAGGGTGAACAACCAATCCTGATGCCACATTGAATTGGACCGCAATCAGTCAAGAAACGAGTTTCTAACATAGTTTTAATTGTTTATGTTCATTTTCTAAGTGATACAGACGCCAGAGTCAAAATTAATGATACCACGTGGCATCACATTTGCGTTACCTGGAAAAACACCAAAGGCTACTGGCAGCTTTATCTGGATGGACAACTTCAAATCTCTGGAACAGACTTGAAAAAAGATCATCAGATACCAGCCGGCGGAACAGTTGTCATTGGACAAGACCAAGATAAAGTAGGAGGGGGCTTTGGTATCGAAGATAGCTTTGGGCCGGGTGAGGTAACAGAAGTCAATCTTTGGAGCAGAGTCCTTTCAGGGGATGAAATTGCAACTCAGAAGGCAAACTGTGACATCGCACAAGCAGGCCTTGTTCTCTGGTGGGGACAATTTAAAGGAAACGTTACTGGTGTGAAAATAGTCGAGCCTTAAAAGTGATAGGATTTTCATCACCCCCATCTTGTTTATGACGACATGTTTATCACAGAAGGAGATCCTTCCTCGATCAAGGATTACTGATCAGTATCCACATACATGCTAAATAGCTTTGGCCACTCGTATTATGGAGTCCAACAATTGTTATTACACAGATGATAGCCCTTTTACCCTGTTCAGTAGAGTGTTTGATAGATTGTGCTCTTCTGTTTATGATTTAATAACCTTAAGGTTGCTGTGTAGTCGCTCGTTACTGTGATAAACCGCCAAAGTTCAGGACCGAAGTAGCGAGTATCATTCAGTTATTAGTCACAAAACGTCTAAGCTAAGTTTTCACGAACATCATGATCTTAATCACCAAAACAAGATCTCTGAACCACAGGACACAAGTTGTGTCCCTTTCTCGTTGATTTTGTTGCACGAGGCAATCGAAGGCGGAGGAAAAAGAGAGGATAAAAAAATTGCTGCTTTGGGTGAAATCTTGGATAGTCGCATTCCCCCCTCCAGAGTCATATTGCGCCAGAGTATTTTCCCTTAACTTAACCTTTAAAGAGAAGCTCAAAACCCAGCCTTAAATTTTGTTGGAGGAAACGAAAAAGTGGAGGGTAAATGAACTGAGCGAAATATGTAAATATAAAGTAGAATTTATATTGTGTAATATGACTGAACTATTTAATGAAAACAAAGCGTCATAAGACCTGTTCGTGTTCGTCTCTTCCTTCAAAGCGATCGATGTTCACTCTTACGGCTTGTGCTTCCTGTTTGTACACACTACTATAATAGTTCGATGTTCAGATAATCAAAGTTACTTTTGGAATATTTACACTTCATTAACGGATAGCGTACCGGATATTCTTAACGCACAGAACACGATATAAGCGTTATTAGCCGAACTCTGACTAATTAGTTGGCTGGAAATTGGTCGAATTCTTTCTGCTTTGCGTTTTGTCTTTAAACTATAATTTTACAGAGCTCTTCTTTGTATTTGAAGTTTCAGTGATTGCAATAATTTCCTGCCGATCTACAATGTTGTATTTTTTTGGCTTCAAAATTTTGATCAAGAACGTGACGTGGATGCTAGTTACTATAAGTTCTCCTGGAAACGAGCAGTTATGTGTCTAAAATGCTTGGATGATCCTTGGGCACCATTCCCCACAAACCCCTTCTCAGTAGGTTTCGAGATGGCTACCGTCCACTCTCTTTTAAGCTTCATAGGGAGAACCTGGGAAAAAGAGAACAAGACGAGTTGACCTAAGTCATTGGACATGGCCGTCCTACTTTACAAAAGACATAAATTTTAGCCGCCATATTGGCCGAGGAAGGCGTGAGGAGCATGAAAAACTCATACCCAGTTCTCGTTCTTGTAAGTGCTCCCTTACTTCCTTGTCGACCAGGTCTAAAAAATGTATCATCTCCTCCCTTGTGACTAAAATCCAGGAGGATTTTCTTTTTTTCTTATTTTTAGAGAGAAAAATGCGAAAAGCGCTTGGGAAACAAATTAGAGAGGCTGAGAGCTACTAAGGTCCCTAACGAAAATGATGGCCTGGAAACATTCAAATGCATCAAAAAAGGCTTCTTTAGCGCTGTTGTTTTAACAATGTAATCATTTTTCACGCAGGCATATAACTTAGCATATAACTTAAGTTATATGCTTCTGTTTGCCATTGACAGATCCTCGATGCCGCCACCTTTTAATTTTCTCAAGTTTAAAAGCGTCTTTATCGCCCCCGGCCAAGTTCTATTCTTTCACTGACAGTTGAGACCCCCTACCTTTGGATAGCAATTTTTTTACATTATTTGCACTAAAATTTTGAGGGAGCTGTGTATTCAACGAGAAATATTCATGATCAATTATCCAATACTTTACCATTTTACCGCATGATGATGAATTCACGTGTCTAGTTTCCGTTTAGAAGATGGCATATTGTCAGAAATTCTGTTTTCTTTTTGTTTGCTTGTCACGAAGTGTGGTGTATTCCTTAAAATTACCAATTTCAGTGTCGGTTAAAGTGGTGCATTTGTCATGGGAGGTGTGGCCTATGGAATACGAGCTCACTTTAAGCAAGCCCTTTCTCTAATTTTGATCTCGCTAGGTAAATAATTTGAATAATTGGATGATCATATTAATATTCAGGTTTTCATGAAGCCGATTTGTAATGTCAGTCGATAATTTGAAAATAGTTCCAAGAAAAATTTGTCAGAGCTTTAAATGATTTGGTGTTGTTTAGGCTTCCAGACTTGACTTTACAATTCTAGTGATTCACGCGACTGAATCATTTCATTTTGAATTTAATATGTATTAATATACATCAAAAAGTCACGTGCGTCCGATTGGTCGAAAACGAGTGTATTTTTCATGTAACACGAGCGCAAAGTTATAGCACGAATGCAAATTTCAAATGCAAAGTTTTGTCCATTTTGACTTTCTGTTATGCGGCCTGTCATTCAGCTGGTTATCATGTATAATCTTTTCTGTTAGGCATCCGAGTTTTATTGCCTAAATTACGCTGAAGTTGACCAATCAAGATTCGGATTGCGTGGGGTACATCTTTAAAGACATCGGGGAAGACAGTAAACAGACTTATTCTGTAATGACAATTTTCGCGATGGGACTTGAAAACACTTCCCTCTTTGTCTTCTTTCGAGGAGTTATATTACTCTGCGCAGTTTTCCACGCAGGAGTAGAATCGTCTGCCCTTTCTCGATCAACATATTTCACAACGTTGACAAATAAGCGGCTTAAAGGTTTTGTCGTGAAACGGTTTAAGTCGACCAGTCAAATTTGGTGTAGTCAGTCTTGTTTGAAAAACGCCTGGTGTACTTCAACAAACTTCAAACTTACTCCTCAAACTTCCAAGTCTGATGGCAAAGGAACTTGTGAACTAAACAAGCACGACGTTATCAAAGAAAACGCACATTTACAGTTCGAGGCGGAAGTCATTTTCTCAACACTTATTAAGGTAAATAATTGCAATGTTTTGATCGTTTTCAATGTATTCAGTGATACCGAGTTTAATCATCTGCAGGTTAGTCACCAATTCGTTTATTTTTAAAAGTCTTGTAATTAAGCAAGTTTTCATTTTTACAGTTTAACTCTTCCCTTACTTCAGGAAAATAAACCCTTAATTAGGCACAGGTCTTCAGTGCGATCTTTTTTTTCAGAGAGCTCCAGAATTCAATAAAATTATGAATAAAAAAACTAAAATCCAAAGATGATTGAAAACTGAATTTTTACGCCGAGCTGTAGTACCAGACACACAACCTGCATAACGACCAAAGAGAACTAGTAAGAATAACCGTTGTTATTTCTATACCCGGAATAATTTTCAACCCTTTGTTTTAGTTGTTCGTTAACCCCCTTTTCTGTGAAAAGATCCACCCACCTCATGCAGTTCGTGAGCCGCAAAAACAAGCTGGTTGCACCAAACAAATATTTTGTTTCCCCGCCGACGTTTGAGACCTTTGGTGATAGCATTCATCGATTACCGGTTTAGCATGAAAGTTAGAAGTTCTTTTTCATGAAAACGGAAAAATACTTCTCCTTTAACTAACTAAGGACAATAATAACAAGAAGAGATGAAGAAAAATATTCCATCGGGCGTTTGGTGATAGGTAAAATCAACTGCAAATGTTATGCACCTTAAAGAAACCATTCACTAATTATGCAAATTTTTGTAAAGAACAAAAAAACTAGAACTGATGCTTGCCAGCAGAAGCAAGTTTTGGAAATGGCACATACACTTTCTTTTATTCCCTTTTAAATGAAATCCTTTTCCAGCAAATGTAGTAATTTAGAAACACCATGTTTTGATCGAGATATTTGAAATTATATGCCGTCCCCAAACGGCTGGTGGGCTCTTGTTTGTTTCTCATTTGCATCACAAAAAAGTGCAATAACTCCACCGTAAGTAAAAGCTTGGGGTTGCAGTGAATCGCATGTTATTGTGTTTGAATATGTAGTAGTTTTTAACTGAAGTTTATAGAAGCTAGACCATTAATAAAATGACATGCCTTGACTTCGTTTGGCAGAAGTCAATACATGTACTTGTATATGTTGACTAAATGCGTAGTTAAAAGCAAAACTTTTAGGCAGCCAGTGTTTTTTTTCCGTTGTTTTTGCCTATAAACGCATTACCACCTTGTAAATTTTTTTTAGAAGTTTGTTGAAGAATTGGCAAGGACAGATAAATTGTTTCGTTAAATTTGGCGATAGGGTAGGCTTGATACCCACCCGGTTGTTGGAGCTGGATCTAGGAGATAACAAAAAAACCGTAGTTGAGAGCGTGACTATTTTCCAGCCAATTGTTTTTATCCATCAGAAGGAAAGTGAAACAATTTTGAAGCATATTCATGTGTATTTATTTATATTCTTCTCATTATTCCATCGGCTACTCTTTCTATTTAGGATTGCCGACTAGCAGCCAGCACCTGTTTAAATGGTGGTGTGTGTGTTTTATGACGAGAAAAAGCAAACTTATTCATGCCAATGCAAGCCCCCTTGGACCGGAGAAACTTGTGCTGATCTGTGTAAGAAACAAATTTGTAAATTAGAATGAAGTTGTAATGAATTGCCTGTCGAGAAAAGCTTCAGAGCAGTTTTCCTGTTGCGTTTATGTGCGACAATTGAAAGAATGTAGCGAGACGGTTTTCTGCAAACAAGCAAACAAACTTCGTTCGAACGCTATTTTGATGAGATCTTTTCCTTAAAAAATTTGACATTGTTTTGCTTGTGTAACGCACATGCTTAAGGAGATTTACTTCGATTCAAAAGCTTTATGAGCCAGACCAACTTAATTATATGTGGTTTGAAGATCGGTAGGTCAGTCGCTCTATGATGTAACTTCTTTTTATTGACAACAACTCTTTTGAAATGTTGTCTTGTATTCGCAAAAAGTTACCTGTGACAGCCATCCCTGCAAAAACAATGGAACTTGCACAGACGAACTCAATGGATATAACTGTAGCTGTGCACCAGGATTTCACGGGACGCAGTGTGAAAAGATTGAAGGCCTGTCTTGTTCATCAGGTTTGTAGAGAAGTGTATCGTATTTTGATGACGTATTCTGAAAGC